GAGAAATCGATGGAGATGTATTAAAGTTGGTTGGTGTTAAGAGGACTATTCAAATATCATACGGACTTTCGAGGCCTAATAGTAATGCTAGCCAGTTTAAAGAATTGATATTACGTAGGTCTGTAGGAACGAACGATAGAGAGTGTAATTGATACTACAATTTTGCTTCAAGGTATTAGAATAGTGCACGACTAAGGACATGTATTAGATTTTGTAGCATATATAATTGTAAGTTATATAGCAATAGCTTTTTGCTGCATATCAGTTTCTATGGTTTCTAAGAGGCACATTAACTTAAAACTTAGCATTAAAAAATAGTCATATCGCCTATTTAGCCCACATGTTCCTGTTGTCCAGTGGGCCAGTATTCCCTTTTGAGGTGGAAAATGAATCTATACCAGAGCATTGCAAAAAGAATAGCCCGTCATCTTCTAATAAATCAGTTTGTTAAGTGTCATATTAGACTATTTTGCAAGTACAAGTTTGCGGAAATTGACTGCGTTACAGACATCATTCCATACAATGGCATGCGTTGCAACTCTTATACAGCCAGTATCACCGTTCTTGCAACTATTTAGTAGTTGTTTATGTAAGCAAGATCTAAACTTAATCAAGCACATATAAATCAACTGTAGAAGGAAAATAAAGTGTTAGCTGCTCTTTATGAAGGGACAATTGAATGCTGAATGCTTAGTATTCTAATGCAATGATTCTTACTTTCTGAACAAATTATTTGAATTGTTTATTATTGCAAAAATAAAATATAACATTTAACTATTCTACATAGGAGAGGCATACCGATGACTGTCTCAACGCTGGCATGCATGCATGGTCAAGAAGACCAACTAAGTACCGTATACAAGTAAGTGAATCTAGTCTTATAGGCTCGTATAGGTCGAGTGTTTATATCAGAAGTTTGTAACTGAAATCTGAGATTGTATTCAACACTTTGTAAGTGAGGACGAAACAAAGCATAGTGTAAGATCCGTTATGTGGGTCATTCTAAGTAGTATCAATTAGATTACGCCATACGAGCCGTTGGCTATTTCTGATTTCATTTTGATTATGATATTCTTCTGATCTTTTGTTAAAGTATCGATTTCAAGGTCAGACAACTGAGAAACTTGTTTCAATAATTGAACATGGTCAAGCGTCAAACTTTCTAGTTCTGATTGCTTCGAGTTGACACATAATTTCACTATTTCCGGAGTAGTGAAATTCAACAATAAACTGGTTTCTACTAATGCATGGGCTAATTGTGGAAATTGGTCTAGTAACTTTTTCATCAAGACAGGATTCTCTTCACTCATTTGCTTTGCTTCCTTTATAAGCTGGTATGCAGAGCGCTGATCAAGACCTGATAATGCATTGGATATGGCTTGAGGTATAGTCTGATTATTAAATAATTGAATCCCTAATGGCAAGGCAGGTAATTTGTCTGCACTTCCATTACTGCTATCGGGGAATGCAGAATTATCATTTGAAAAAGAGCACTTTATATTTCTATTTCCAATGGCCATGTTGTTCAAGTTTCTTACGGCAGATGCAGCTGTTTCATGGTCGCCGTACTTAATAAATGCATATCCTCTGGACTTTCCAGTCATTGGGTCAAAAAGTAATTTCAAGTCTATCACAGGACCAACCGATTTTGCTATTTCTAAAACTTGTTCCTCGGTATGATCAAATGGTATGTTACCAATATAAACGTTTTTAGTCTCTTCCATCTTCGTAGTCGAATTGTTGTACTCTTATATTCTTTTCCTTAATAAGTTGGCTCACTTAGATTAAAAATGTGAAGCTGAATTTTCATAGTTTACACAAAGCCAGCATCAAAACTTCATTGAAATAAAATATATCTATATGAACTAAAACAAAAGGGTTAGATAAGGAAAGAATGGATGCTAAAGAGATAAAATCAGCTGTTTCTAGTTTAGAGAAATCTACAGATGATGCTACCATTTTGAAACTTTTGAATATTTTAAATGATGGTGTAGAACCCACTGAAAAATTATTGAGAGAGACTAAGGTTGGGGTTGCCGTGAATAAATTTAGAGGTAACAGTAACTCTGAAGTCAGCTCGTTGGTTAAAAAAATGATTAGAAATTGGAGAGAGGTTGTTCAGAATGAAAAGACTAAAAAGAAGACCGGTTCAGCGACACCAGATAAGGACTCCAAACCAACAACAAACACAACAAAGCAAAATTCTACCGAAAGCAAATTTCATAGTGGACCAAGAAACCCAAAAACCGACGGAGTAAATACAACGCTTTATGATAATTCTACGAGAAATGCCTCTGTAAGTGCGTTATATACTGCTTTGGCTATTGAACGTAATGACTCAGGTGAACATATATTAGCAGTTGCCCGTGATATTGAAAACGAAGTTTTCAAGGCTGAATACCTGTCTGTTAATGATAATTATAGAAATAAATTAAGAACTTTTACAATGAACCTTAGAAATAAGAAAAACCCAGATTTAAGAGACCGTTTATTAACTAATAAAATTAAGCCATCAAATTTTATTAAAATGACACCAAATGAAATGGCACCTGAATCATTAAAGAAAGAGATTGAAAAGTTACATAAACAAAACCTTTTCGATGCCCAAGGTGCAACTGAAAAGAGGGCGGTCACTGATAGATTTACTTGTGGTAAATGTAAACACAAAAAGGTCAGTTATTATCAAATGCAAACCAGATCTGCGGATGAACCTTTAACTACCTTTTGTACTTGTGAGAATTGTGGTAACAGATGGAAGTTTTCATGATCTTATCAAGCCTCCTAAATTGTAATTCTAAATATTTTTCCTTCTAACTGTATAAATCTTAGTTTTTGTCTTCCCAATTTGTACTTAATATATTCTATTTATCAGTAAAAGTAGGATTCTACGCCTTTATTTACTTACATTATGTGGATATACTTTCTTTACATAAATATTAAAGCGCTATTTTTAAAGCAATATTATACAAGATCTATTTATTATAAGATTTTTGTCAAGTACGAGATTAAATCGACCTTGGTAACAATTTGGACAGGTTTATAATCCTCATCGGTCACAATAGCATTGGAATTAGTTTCGAAGAATTTGTTCAACAAAGCTAACGAAGTATCCATAGTAATTGGCTCGTAACTTCTTTTGGTAAAACCTGACTTCTTAGTAATTGTGAAGGATTTTTCAAAATCAGCCAATTTTCTAAAATCAATAATAATTGATGAAATAGAGTTTGTCATTTGGACCTTCTTGGTGGAAAGAGATTTCAAAATTTTAGATAAAGTAATTAAACCCACCAACTTTCCTGAGTTATTCAAAACTGGTAATTGATCGAAACCATTAGTTTGTAATAAATCAAATGTCTTTCCAACAGTGTCAGATAAAGTGACAGTGACAACAGGAGCCTTATCAGCAACCAAATCTTTGATGGTGGTCTTATTCAAAATCTCATCAGACTTGTTTGATGCACTTTCATTTTCTTCGATAGGGAATCCATTAGTAGTCATCCATTCATCATCGGCAAACTTGGATAAGTAAGATCTGATTGAATCTGGGAAAACAACAACAACAGTATCGTCTTCAGTTAAATCCTTGGCAATTTGTAATGCAGCTTGTAATGCAGAACCAGAAGAGCCACCAACTAAAATACCCTCTTCTCTAATAATTCTTCTAGCCAATTTGAAAGATTCAGCATCATCAGTTTTAATCCACGAATCGACTCTATCTCTCTTTAAAACATCAGGAATAAAGTCATAACCGATACCTTCAACTAAGTAACCTTCGTTTGTATCATTTAACGACTCAGGCACAGCTAAAATAGAACCCTTTGGATCAGCTCCAATTACTTTAATATTTGCGTTTTTTTCCTTTAAATACTTGGATATACCAGTGATAGTACCACCAGTACCAGCACCAGCGACTAAGTGGGTAACCTTACCTTTAGTCTGATCCCAAATTTCATAACCTGTACCATAATAGTGTGCATCAGGGTTAGCTTCATTGGAATACTGATCTAAGATAACAGAGTTAGGGATTTCTTTTTCCAACTTTCTGGCCACCCCAATGTGTGATTCTGGAGCATCCCAGGCAGCTTCTGTTGGGGTTCTGATAATTTCAGCACCTAAAGCTTTCAAAACTGAAACCTTTTCGTTCGACATCTTTTCTGGTAACGTGATAATGGTTCTGTACCCTTTAACAGCACCAACTAAGGCTAATCCAATACCGGTGTTACCAGAAGTAGGTTCGATCAAAGTATATCCTGGTTTAATTCTACCTTGCTTTTCAGCTTCTAAAACCATATTTTTAGAAATTCTATCCTTAATAGAACCACCAGCATTGAATAATTCAACTTTAGCATAAACCTTGGCTTTAATACCAAAGCTTTGTGGAATTCTATTTAACTTGATTAATGGTGTGTTACCAATTAAGTCTAAAGCATCTTCAGCGATAGGAGGGACTGGCATATTGATTTTCTTATAGTCTGGTTTAATAATGAACTCTAAAAGAAATCTTAGATATATTAGAAAGTAAAAAAAAAACTAAAACAGAACGCCATAGTACGGAGTACAAGAGATGTGGCATCGCTAATTTTGTGATTAATTGGAACAGAGCCGTTTGAAATTTCTTTTGAGGCATCACAAAACGTTTTAAATTCGAAGCTGCAAATAGACATATTCGAACCTATTTTCAAATTCTACAATGCAATAGGATTCACTCTGTATTAATCACTGCCGTTTACATGGTCATAAAGTCTTGATGATATTGGAAAAAAAAAATTTCAAGTAAAATAAGGTTATAAGTGCATTCTTTTGCCGTGCCGTGAATTCTATATTGCTCTATAAACAGTTTTACTTGCAAGTAGATGCGATACAAGTCATAAATATTGTCCTTTCCGCCAGGTTGTATTTGCTTTTAATAATGTAGTATTTAAATACTTTCTTATTTTGACAGATGACCTATATCTACCTGATGGTTTTGAATTTGAGAAGAATCAAAACAACTTCATAAAAATAGGCTTCAACAGAATTAGGAAATTATATGCATTAAATAAAAAGTAGGCATAATTAGAAGCATATTTGGGGTGAAACAATTGATGAATGAAATTTATAGGTTTTTGCACCCAATAATTTTAAGGCAAATGGAATGTTCTCATTAATTATTCTAGATATTAATCGAACTAAGCGACCCATTTTGAGCTATTGAGATTTAAAATGGATTCATAGAGTTTCTCCGATTTCCTTTTACACAAAATTTCTATGAAATGGCCAAAAAAGTTGAAAATTTCCATAATTCTGTTCTAAATTTGTCAAATTCATGACTTTTTGTAAATAATATGTTACAAGTGAAAAATATTCATTTAAGATATTACTATATATTATTACTCATATTTTGATCAAACAATAGATATTATTATGATGTTTGAAGTTTGATGCACTTGTTTGGAGTTTTCATTAGTATTCTATATAATTGAACAACCCATATAGACCTGGAGAAAAGTGACACAAAACCATAAACTACCCCATATAGGTCAAACATTAATGATTTTGCATTTAATGACATCTGAATCATGACCTGGAATACCCTTAGTAAAGTCATATACCTGGAATACACCCTTTCTATCAACAGCATAGACTTTGCCCCCATCTGAAGAAAATTTCAATGAAGCAGCTTCAGTATACCTTGCAGCATTTGCAACTTCTCCCAACTGAACAACAACTTTTTTTATCGATGATTTCAAATGTTGGAAATTAGGAGTCGAAACCAAAAATACATGACCTGCTTTATCTAAGAATACCATTGCATCACCGCGTGGCAGTAAAGTGAGTTTGTGAATCGAGGAACCAATCTCAGGTATTTTCATAATTGTTTCTGAACCACTAATGTTGGAAGCTTGTGAATTATGATTTTCTTCATCAAATATGCTATGCAAGCTACTCAGGAGACTAATATCCTGTGATTGGTTATCGATCGAATTATTGTGTCCCACAAAGGGAGAGGCATGACTCCTAGAACCTATTTCTCCTTCTAACTTAAGGACGTATGATGGTTTATCTTTTAAGGAGCATGATGTCAAAAAAATCACATTAGCAGACAAGGCACCGAATTGCAAATCAGTAATACCTTCGTCATCCATCAGTTGGAAGTCATCAGACTGTTCATCATCTGTGCCTACATCATTAGTATCAGTGTTCCTTACCCTATGATGTCTTGTGTAAGCTAACTCAGTCCAGACTAATCTTGGTCTTTTATAATTATCTGAACGCTTATTTCTTAATTTAATTATCAAGTACCTTGATTCCCATACTGTGCAACATAAAAGATGGGTAGACGTCGCATTGAAGTTGATAAGTTTAATTGGATCTCGATATGGAATCGTTATAGTTATAGGCTCCACAGAATCGAATGCCCGTTCGCGATTTAGGGAAGGGTTTAGTTTATGCAATATTATAAATGGCTGTTCTTTACTTGAGAGCCTTTCTTTAGCAGTGATTCCACATGCAACAAGTGATTCATTTGGTGACACAGATATGCATCTTATCGGGAAATTTGTAATGTACATATACATGGGCCTGCCCAATTCTTCTGGTAATGAGGATGATGAAACATTCAAGACTCGCATTACACCTTTAGTACCAGATATAACCAAGTAATGAGTGGAAAGTTTACAGAATATTTGATCCCAGTTATCGAGCCTCTTCTTCTTTTCCTCATCATTACTTTGTCTACCGGAATTAGTATTTGAGTTTTGCCCGTTAGCAAAATCGTTTTTGATGACAACTTCTTTCGAGTTGGGATCAGCTCGCAAATTGTTAAAATCTCTACCATATTCCCCAGTCAGCTTTCCACAACATAATAGAACAGGCTTGGCAGAGTATGTCTCTTGATTCATATAAGCCCTGTATTCGTACAACTCCCATTTCTTATTAGAAATAAGAACAAATCTAGTAACTTCACAATTAGCTCCAAAATCACAATAAGTATGTATGTCACTACATATAAATGATGCAGTTTTTTTCATTATGGATCCTTTCGTTATTGAAGAAATGTTGAATTTTGATTGTTGTGTTTGGAATGTAGATAATTTTCTATGGAAAGGAAAACATTTGCTGAAATTGTATTCTTTTTCTTCACTTAAATTGGTTAGCAATTTTTGTTCAAAGCTTAATTGATCATTGAGAGGTTGAGCCGTAAGAAGACTTTCCGAAGTTTGCAATTTAGTTTCAGGAAATATATAGTTTTGAGTTGAAGAAGCTTGTTCCGAAATATCGGTAGTTGTTAATGCCTTAGGGTTTATATCTTCTATGACTTCAGAGTTGTTTTCCCCCAAATAAGAAGCTTCTTCCTTAGCGAATTTATAGAATAAACTAATTAAATCCATAGACTCTGTTGTGCTGGATGATTCATTATGATCAATTGTATTTGACCGTATACTCTTTTTTGAAGATGACCTTCTTCTGTTCTTATTGTTAAGATGAATATTGATTTCTTGAATAATACCAAACAAATCTCTTAATGGAGTAATTTCTGTTAATATAGATACATTTTTTGCTTGACAATTGGGGCAATTGGATTCGTTGGTTTCGGAATTACTTGTGTACGATAAGAAGTATGACTCAGAAACTAAGCATCCACAAGTGAGAACAGACGCATCAGAAACAATAACATTCGGACTTGATCCTGCCTTGAATTTCAAAAGCCCTTCTAGGCTAGAAACTTTGAGTTTATCCATTGGGGAGAGATCTTATATGAAGACGGATAGATGCTAAAATGTGCCGTATTTGTTATATTTATCTCGCATTTCGCTCCTAATGATTTTTTAGGCGGAGATAAAGCCATATCTTATTAAACGAAAAATACTAGCATATATATGTATAAACTTAAAGAAAAGAGTAGATTTATAAATCTTAGTCATCTTGATCGTCGCCTAAATTAACACTATTTCCGTTGTATGTACCACGGTCATTTCTTTTGTCATCTGAATTCTCCTTTAATTCATTCTTCGAATCACCTTTAGAACTTCCTTCATGGATAGTCTGAATATTACTTACGGATGGTATGCTGCTTATTGGCTTTGGAGTTGACGAACGAGCATTGTAATTAGATGCTCCATTACCAGCAGATGTCATATCTGATTGTGGCATATTGGGTACACGAGAAAACGGTACTGGTGATGGATTAGAACCAAAATTAATCAATGATGGCTGCGATCCAGAATTGATTGATAACACATTAGGGGTTCCTGCACCACTTCTTAGTCTTGCATCGAAGTATTCTTCAACTCTTTCAGATGGGGGACTTGCCAAGTTCGAATCATTAATACTATTGATGTCCGTCGGCCTATTGGTATTGGGATCTTCCGAGTCTCCTAGAGGACTTCTAGATCTTTCCAAATCGACATGACCTTCATAGTCTTGAGTTAGATCTCCGACACTATAGTCAAAGAAAGAATATATGGCATTACCAAACTTACCGATTGCACCACCAACTGAGCGTAGAACACCTGCAGGAGCTCTACCATTAGGGTAGGCGTTCACATAACTCTTAGCGTCATATATAGGCTTCAAAATCAATACCGAGCGAGGGCATAAGCCCAAATCAGCTAATTTTTTAAATTCCTCATCGTCGCTATATGTTACACGGGGCAAGACAGGTTGATGAAAGACATAATGAGTTGGCTGAGGGTACGAAGCAGTCGCAAACGAAGGTAACGACGCGTTATTGGGGATAATTTGATGCTCTGTTTCATTATCGAGCCAGCTCCGCACATCATTTAAAGTTTGATCAGCCTTAAAATCGTGCTTTAAGGAATTCCCATCAAATAGCTTGATTGATAACGAACACACTTCATATTTACTCTTACTCGATTTTCGAGCTTTTTCATCACCCGATGACTCTTCGGCAGCTTTTCGGGTTAAATGTTTTTGCGCTATGTGACGTTCTCTCTTGTCTGCTTCAAGTAATGCTCTGATTCTTTTCTTCTCTTCTTGCTCCTCTCTTTTAAGCACCTCAATTTGCCGTTTATGCCTGAAAACATTCAGATCATGATCTCTTCCTAATGTATTACCATGTATTTGGGTCAGAGAAGCCGAAACTTGTTCTTGTCTGTTCAGCACTACAGCAGGCTGATTAGACCCTGCATTTGCATGTGCCCCGGGTTGTTCACTAACAACTGAATTATCAGCTCTATTTACATTCAAATCATCGCAAATCTTCTGTATTTGTTCTCCAAACCGTTCCGATGTACATTCTTGCGTTATGACATCCAATAGTTGCCCTTTGTTAACCACGTAAAAACTGGGTACCACCAAATTTTGAAAAATTTGTTTAAAATACCCGTACTCCGTGGTGTCTTCAATCAACTTTAATGCCACAAACTGGTTCTGAATCTTTTCACGTACATATCTCCCATTATCACCAGCTTTCCTCCCCAAAAGCCCGTCAGCAAACGTCCCCGACGTTTCATCATCCTTAGATAAGAAAACAAATAGTGGCTGGTTATTATTTAACGATTTTTGCACAGCTTCTTGTACCGAAACCATAAAAAGGTTATCTATACTTGATGTCATCTTTCCCTTACCAACTACCTACTATTCATGTAAATTCAACACTAAACTTATAGCTTCTACTCATATATTATGTGGGTTCTTTTTGCCTCATATTGAGGCTGAACTAAAATTGCGATCGGCTTGCACTACAAACTAATTTACAGTCACCTTTTAACTATTTGAAACGAATAAAATTAGTTGGAAATACTCCTACGAATGGCTAAGTCACAACTATACAGACCCTAGGCTCCATTGTCGATATGTACAATATATGGTAAGATACTGGGCTAAATCCATAAAACACCATTTAAGTATGGTGTCATGTGACTCTTCACTCTATATGAGAATGATTTATTTAATGGTTTGTTTACATTACAAATGTATGGATTACTTTTAGTTGTATAGCACGAAGTTTTGAGCCAAAAAAGCTGATTAAGGGTCAGAAATCATGTCAGACAAACATAATGCAAGCACGAGTATTAAAGTACTTGTAAGAGTGAGACCATTGCTCGCTAGGGAGATGGGAGACGGAGATGAAGCTGAGGTTAATGAGTGCTTGGTGTCGATGCCAGCCGAGGATAAGACACGAGTTGAGCTCAGAGTGCCTAAAACGTCGAGCTATCATTCACAGAAGAATAAGGTTATACGGAGCAATGAAGAAGATGCAGAAGATGAGGTTAAGAAATATAAATTTGATCAATGTGTATGGTCTTACGATCACAAAGATGAGCATTATACGAGTAATCGGGGGTTTTATGAGTCAATTGGGCCACGGGTTATTCAAGATCTTTTCCAGGGATTCAATATGTGTTTATTGGCATATGGACAAACGAGTTCGGGGAAGACATACACGATGATGGGCAAACAGCACGACGAGGGTTTGATACCGCTTATAGTCCGCGATATACTTCGTTATAAAGAACGCCTCATTAGCGAGAGAATAAATTGCGAGGTCAGGATTTCGTACATGGAGATTTATAATGAGCTGGTCAAAGACCTCTTGTGCGAAAGTGGTGAGGCGAAGAAATGTAGAGTAAGAGAGCATCCAATTAAAGGTCCATATGTGGAGAATCTCAATGAATATCAGATTGAAAATTATGGAGACTTTCTTAGTTATTTAACGAGAGGAAATAACCATAGATCTACTGCATCCACATCCATGAATGACAAGAGTTCGAGATCTCATGCCATCATCACACTCTCTTTGAAGCAAACCAAATTTACACAGGGCGATACAGAAATGAACAATATGACCGACGCAAATGACATGTACATCGGTGATGCAGAGGAAGAAATGATATCAAACATTAAGCTTGTTGATCTTGCAGGGTCAGAACGATTAGCAAAGACCAAAGTTTTTGGGCAGCAGGATAGGATGAAAGAAGGCTCACTTATCAATAAATCGTTGACTGTACTTGGACGCTGTATCAATTTATTGTCTAGTAACTCTTCCAATCCAACACAAAAGCAAGCAATAGTACCCTATAGAGACTCAACATTATCGTATATATTGAAGGAAAATTTGTCAGGGAATTCAAAGAGTTTTATGATTTTTTGTGTGTCACCAATTGATTTTGAAGAAAGCTATCAGACTTTGAATTATGCCAAGCAAGTAAAGCGAATTAAGACAGCAGCTAAAGCAAACAAGATTAAACTTACGGACACGGTAATTGACTGGAAAGAAATCGATCAGTCGAATGTGTCTATTATAGATAGCTTAAAAGATGAGGTAAAAGAATTGACCGAAAAATTGAATGCGTTACAACTGGCAGAAAATGCCTCGTCTAATTCCGATGGTGATAAATTTAGCAAACTCATATTGTATCTTGAGAGGGAAATCAACAAAGTGAACTTTGAAAATAAGTACTTGAAGCGCAAGTTGATTCTGAAGGATAGCGAAGTCGATGAATTGCAAAATCATGTAAGCTATATGGATAGGGAATTACTTGAAATGGCTTACGAGAATAAAGGATACAAAGAGCAGTATGAACACACGTCTAATAAGTATTTGGTGGATAATATTATAGACAAATGCAATTTCCATTTGGCACTAATTGAAAGTGATCTAGATGAGTTTGACCCTAGGAAAGTATTCTAGATGCGGAATTAACTATACCTGTTTGATCTACAAAAGCAATTATCATTCTGTGACTGCGGCCTCAAAATATTCCTTATACAGCATATATAATTCATATAGAGGGTCCTAGATAAATGCGAAATATAGATTTTAATTCGCTTAGTTTTTGTAGCTGCCATTTTTTTACGGGTAAGAAATTTGGTGAACAAAATTCAATAGTTTCATAAAGTAGAAATAGATACTAAACAACTGTCGATATTTAACAATCATGTCTGAATTCCTTAACTACAAAGTTGATTTAACTTTGCATGATGGGTCAAAGTCATCTGGTGTTATCACGAGTGTTGATAATCAGCAGATCGTACTTAGTAATGCATATCAAACTACGAATCCAACGCATCAATTATCCAATTTGAAAATTAGCAGCTCTCAAATCGCCGACCTAAAAGTTGTTCAATTGCCTCCTGATATGTTAAAGAATGGCAAAAATAAGCGTAGCAATGCAAAATCCAATGGGCACCAAGGGGATGCAGCAATTGGAAGTTCGCCTGCATTATTGGATGATGCTATTGTATTTGCCAAGTCATCGACGCCAACGTCGAGAGATTCGAGTTATAAGGAAAAGAATACGCATATTACTCCAAAGTCGAGTATTACTAATAGCAGATCAAATACCCCAAGATTAAAATCAAATAGAGCACAACAATCTGCATCATCTACTATGACTGGAGATCCAGATTGGGGCCACGAACGTGAAATTCAGGACATAAAACATTCAAATGAGTTTGATTTTGCTGCCAACTTAGCAATGTTTGATAAAAAGTCCGTATTTGCCGATTTCCAAAAGAATGATAGTGTTAATCCAGAGGATAGATTAGTTGGTCACAATAAACTTGAGACTAATCAGAACAAAAACAAAAAAGACAAATATGATAATGATGAAATGATCTTAGATGTCAACAAAACTGACAATTGGGATCTTATTGGTAGTACTTTTAATTCCAAGGGCAAAGGTGCAATAGACAATATCAAGAGTGCTCCTTCAAATGCTCATGGCGACAAGGAAAAATCAACGGTCTCTAATATGAACAAGACATTTAAGCTTGTGAATTCACAAAACTTGAGTGTGATACCTCTTTGTTCTCCGGTACAATTGTTGGAAATAGAAAGATTATCAACCGATTCGTATGGTGTTTCCCCTAGCATCATGGCTGAGCTTTGTGCTTCTAATTTATCTCAGTTAATTACCACCAACATCTTAGGTGGGTCTACAAGGTTGAGTAAGAAAAAGAATCATAACTTACCACCGTTGGTTTTATTGCTAATTGGTAGTGGAAGATGTGGTAGCCGTGCTTTTGCAACAGGTCGTCATTTAACAAACCACGGAGTCAGAGTTCTAGCATTTGTAATAAGCAATGACGACATTGATAAAGAATTGTCCACTCAGTGGTCACTTTTTGAGAAGTGTGGTGGAAAGGTAATAACATCCAGCTGCTCTGCATTAATTAACACTATAAACCATGAACTTGACACTCCAGTAGAGTTAATTATTGACGCTTTGCAAGGCTACGACGACCATTTGGAAGACATTTTTTACCAAGAAGAACAACAAAAGGAGTTAGCAAGATTAATGTCCTGGTGTAATGAACCACAGCAGGAATGCAAGATCATGTCCTTAGATATACCTTCAGGCATTGACGGTGGCTCTGGTACAGTTCTGGATCCGGCTTTGAAGTTGAATTGCAAGTGGTGTGTTTCCATGGGATTGCCAATCACTGGTTTAATACATGCCTACAAGAATGGCCACTTAGCATATGATGGAGATGGAGAATCATTGCATTATTTGGTAGATGTAGGTATTCCAAATAAGGTATACAGCAGTAAAGGAAATTTGAGAAAATTTGACAAATTCTGGTTCAGCGCAGAATATAGTATCAAACTTGATGTGTCCACTGAATAGTATAATTATGCTCGTGGCTTCTTTATTGACTAGGGTAGATCTATAGATAATTGTACTATATTATATTGTATACGTAAATTGTAGTATAACAGCGTAATATTCAAACTTGCCCTCTTCTGGTGGACGCACGCCAAAACTTGTTTACACCGAGAGAAATATTTCATACTACTCTAAGCTAGAGATAGCGTTCAAACATTAGTCTAAATAAAAGAAAGATATTCATTTATCTACTGTACCCATTGCACTCAATCTTAATCTCTAGTCATAAAATTTTCATTTAATTGAATCAAGTGAACTATACTTCTTTCAAATCATTGACTTTTGATATTTTATCCATTTAATGTTTGGCTCTACTCTACAAGGTGGATCTAGTGGTTCAGGGAACTCTAATAATAACTGGGGATCATCAACCGGATTTTCGAAAGCAACGTCTTTCAGTGGTGCATCGAGTGGACCTAGTGGAGGAAGTTTGTTTGGGAATTCATCTACAAAAGACACAAACTCTGCTGGATTATTTGGCAATGCATCCTCAAGTGCAAGTAATTCTGGAGGGTTATTCGGTAAACCACCATCAAATAATACCAATACAGGAGGATTATTTGGAAATCTGAATAATACCAACCCAACAAGTGGAGGACTTTTCAATAGTAATAAACCGGAAGCCTCTGGTGGTTTGTTTGGCGGATCCTCGTCAAATGCTGCTCCTAGTAATAATCTATTTGGATCATCGAATACCGCTAATTCTGGCACTAATTTATTTGGTAACACAGCAAGTTCAAAAATGAGCTCCAGCAATCCAAATGCCAATACCAATTTATTCGGAGCAAGTACTACTAATAATTTATTCAGTAATAATAGTCTATCAAGTCAGGCATCAATTCCGTCCAACATTAATTCTACAAATCCGTACAGCTACGATAAGGTGTTCAGTAATTTACAAAAGGCTGATTCGGTAATGCCAAAATCTGTAACAGAAGATTTGTTCGTCAATACAAGTAATAAAGATTCATCTGAGAGGAAGAAAATATTGACCCCTGTGGATAAGGCAAAACAGGCACCAAGGAGGTCATCGCTATTATCTAGGTTAGGACAAACGTTAAAATATTTTAGATATTCAAACGCTTCTACACAACCAAATAACTTTGCATCGGTTAAGGGACTATTTACTCAAGCAAATTTTTTAACTTCGAAAGACAAGCAAAATATTTTACCTAAACCCACAAAATTAGTACCAAAACGAATCACGAAACCTTCATATCATACATCTATAGAAAACAGAGGTATAAAGAGGTTGGTCATAAAATCTAAGCCTTTGAAGTTTCATTTAATTGATGCAGATAAAGTTTTGAATACGAAAAAAAGGCGTATTGTATCAGAAGTAGTGCCGTCAGATAAATTGTTAACAGATAATTATTTGAGTGATGAAGATGATTCTGATAACGAAAGTTTTAATATAAGACAAAAGGATACTGCTTCCCGTTTCCCATACAAAGTCAGTGCAGGTGACGAGAAAGCAAATGGTAAAAACGCGGACCAAATCCTTGGAGGTGATAATGATCATGAAGATAATGATGCGGATTTGGACGATAAGGACGCTAATAATGGTTACTGGTGTACTCCATCTCTTAGCGAGTTATCGCAGTTATCAGCTCAAAGATTAGCAAATGTAGAAAATTTTATAATTGGAAGAATTGGGCACGGTCAAATAGCCTACAACTATCCTGTGGATTTATCAGGTGTAGCTATGATTTGTGAAGAAAACAACACGCCTTTGAACGAGGAGCTTTTTGGTAAAATTGTCGAAATAGGTGATCGCATTGTTAAAGTTTATCAAGATGCTGAAAATAAGCCTCCTATTGGATTTGGTTTAAATATTCCTGCTACTATTTCTTTAGAAAGTATACAACCAAGAAAGGGAGAATCAAGATCTGATTTCATTAAATACTTGCAACGCCAAGTTGGTATGGAATTTGTAACTTATGATCCAATTACTTGTATTTGGACTTTCAAGGTTAAACACTTTAGTATTTGGGGTTTAGTAGATGAAGAAGGTGAATTCACAAGTGAACAAAACCAGCTTGCAGAATTGAAAAGAAAGCAAGATTCTAAGGAAGAGGAAGCTGTTTTAGAGTATTCTAGGATCTATGAAGATGAAAAATTTAGTCAAGAATTAAAGAAGCAAAGAGTTAGCGCATATACAAGTGGATTACCTGGTGGATGGGACTATAGCCAGATTATGCAAAATACTCCATTGAAAACCAAGAGGAACTTGGTTGCGGATGAAATAAACAACCAGCTAGAGGTATACCAACAAGAACAAACCACAAATGCTTTAGCTTCAAATGTCAGTGATATAACCATAGATTCAGAAGAAGAAAGTCGCTCTGCTTCACCCGATAGTATTGATTTTGGAATTCCTGATGGTTCTAATGCTCCGTTTGAAAAGAAGAATTTTGATTATTTGAAACAGTTCATCAGTGTGTTACCAAAAGATGTGGATATGTCCCAAATTATTAATGAGAAAGCCTATGAACCGGAAATTACAAATGATGCTATGTTTGATAATATTCAATTGAAACCAAACTTAGCTGTGTCTGATGATTGGTTAGTACAATTAGAATTATGTAATGATATTAATTCTTCGTTGACACCATATATAACGGAATCATCTAAGGTTGATGGAGAAAATAAGAATAGAATTACAGCTGCGAAGGTTGATAACATTCTTTTTCCTGAATTCAATAAAGACTCATTATCAATGGATCATGCTTCAACTCCTATTAATTCGAAAAAATTTTCCAATTTAGAAGGGTCACCATCAGAAATGTACGACGAAGCTTATCCACGCAATGTTTCAAAGGTAATATACCATATGTTGTCCAAATCCACTATTTCCACGCGGTCAAATAAGTTTCCTATTGTTGAAAAGAATTCTAACCTTTCTTTCGCTGATCTCTTACTAAATGAGAAGTCTACAGGTGAAGAAGAACAAATCCTTAAACTCGGATCTGCTCTTTTTGATGAACATAAACTAAACGAATATAGTGAATACAAAGACGTTGACCCGTCGGATTCCCATTTAGTCAAATACTTAGAGAATTTACAACAAAAGAAAAATTTTTCTGAATGGCTCAAGGTTTATAATAGGTCAACAGTCGAACGATGGAGTGATGAAAAGAAGTCAGATATTTTGGAGTACATCTTCATCAAAATATGCGCAGGCGATATAAAGGATGCAATAAGTCTTGCCATGGATTCAAATAATGCTCACCTTTCTGTCATACTAACTTTAATTGATTCAAATGATGATGCAGTAAAGTCAACAGCATCTAATCAATTACAATATTGGTCGGACACATCATCGTTAAGTTTCATTCCAAAACCAATAGTCAAAATTTACAGAATTCTTTCAGGTGACTTCAAAGAAGTATTATCAGACTTACCTTGGAATATTTCATTGGCCGTCAAGTTATTCTATGGCGACAATACTTCAAAATTACATGAATTGATTCAAGAGTTCCAAGTTGGAATAGTTGACAATGGTCCGGTGTATGATATTTTGACTTTGTATAATCAGATTCATGCCAAAGACAAAAACCAAGCATTACAGTCAATCAAGAGCTCTCATTTGAATATAAAATTAAAATGGTTCTTTAACAAAATATTGTCAAAGGGAGATGTAAGTAATGATGTTCTCAATACAGACCTTTCTTTGTCGTTTGGTAACTTTTTAGAAAGGATCGGTTTATGGAAGGAATCTTTATTTGTTTATTCGCATATATCAGATGATAAAGAAAGTGAAAAAGTGATCAGAAATTTGGTTGTAACCAATATTGACCATATTAAGAGCTCAAATGACGAAGAGAATTATATTACCAAGGTTTTGAAAGTACCACACAATTTAGTGTATGAAGCTGTTTCTATTCAAGAACACTCGTTAGGTAACTACTGGGAAGAGTGTGAGGCTTTGATAACTGCCAAATTATGGGAAAAAGCTCATGATTGTATAACTAAAGAACTAGGCCCATCCACTATTATTTCCAATGATAGCGAATCAAAAAACCATTTAAAAACCATAATTGCCAAATTTCCAGAGTCTGGCCATATCATCCCTTTATGGTCGCAAGGTGCTGGTATTTACAGCAATTTTATTTCTCTTTCTGAAGAGGAGATACAGGAGAGAGCGTCTCTGCACACACAATCGTTGTTAGTCTCACTATTATCCAACTTGCCTTTACTTGAAGATTACAACTCTTCTAGGTGTCGAATTGCAATGAAGTTGATGTCCAAAAAAGTTGGGGATATCGCTCTCAATTATGCTGATCAAATCGGAAATATTAAAGGTTTAATATTGTCTCTTCCTTTAGGCGAAGTTGAACGTAATTACTTCAATATTCGCTTGCAACTGGTGAATATTTAGAAGCATTTTGTATTATATTATTAGTAGATTGCATATAGTTGAATAAATTTACATTTTTAGTAGAGAATCCTTCTGTAATACTCTTGAACTTTATACTCTGTTTATTTAAAATATAAATCAATTTGTAACTATGATATATATTCTCCACTTTTCTCTTGTCCTGCCTTGAGGAAAAGTCGGGTTGATATCCTTATTGGGCATAGCTCAATTGGGAATACCGAATTTGACACATTTTTGGCGGATTCATTACCTAAAATAGACAACAACCACGCATTTCGGAGGCTGCAAAACCATAATAAGCTTATAGTTAATATATGTAAGAATATAAAAGTATGCAGAACCCCTTACTTTCTTAATTTTGAGGATTTAAAGTCAACTTTGCAAAGTTTATCTGCATTCTAATGAAATGAACCCATTTAATGATATCGAAAAAACACTAGCTGAATTGACTGATTCAGAAAAGATCTTGCTTATTGGAGGTAAGGATAGATTTCATACTGCACCAGTTGAAAGATTAAGTATTCCTTCGATTCGATTTTCTGATGGGCCGAATGGTGTCAGAGGCAAGTCCTATTTTCCTGGTGTCCCGTCTGCATGTTTTCCTAACGGTACAAATTTGGGTGCTACTTGGGATAAGTCTTTGATGTACGAGGCAGGAAAGCTCATGGGAATTGAATCTAAGTACAAGGGGGCTCATGCTATATTAGGTCCAACTATCAACATTCAGAGGTCCCCCTTGGGAGGAAGAGGGTACGAGTCCTACAGCGAAGATCCGGTATTAAGTGGAAGTTTGGCAACTTCTATTATTAATGGTATTCAATCCCAAAATGTTGCTGCTTGTGTTAAACATTATGTATGTAACGATATCGAGGACGATAGAAGAGCAATTAATATCAATATCACAGAAAGAGCATTGAGAGAAATTTATTTGTTGCCATTCGAATTGGCGGTAAAAAACTCCAAACCAAGAATGGTGATGACTTCATACAGTAAGGTAAGAGGAGAACATGTAGCTGAATCTAAATATTTACTTTGTGATATCTTACGGGATGAATGGAAGTGGGAAGGAACTACAATTTCAGATTGGGGTGGAACATATTCCACCGCAGAAGCTATTACTAATGGTTTAGATCTCGAAATGCCAGGCCCTCCAATATTTAGAAGGCAGGATCTTGTATACATATCCAAAATATCCAAAAAAATTTCTAATACGTCCTTTAATAATAGAGTTCGTAATATGTTACGGTTGATCAAGTATTGCATTGAATCTGGAGTTCCTGAAAATGCGCCAGAATCGAGCGAAAATAATACTGAAGCGACTGCTAAGAAGCTTCGATGTTTCTCAAATTCAGGTATTGTTCTATTGAAGAACGATGGAGGTATATTACCCCTTGATAAGAAGGATAAGATCGCAGTTATTGGTCCAAATGCAAAGAATACTTCTATTAGTGGTGGAGGTTCTGCAGCATTAAACTCTTATGAAGTAACTAATATTTACGAAGCAATTCTGGCAAAATTAGGTTACTCCCCAGAATACACTGTAGGAGCTCATGGACACAAATTTTTACCCCCTCTAGGGTCTAAGTTAAAAAGAGATGATAATTCTACCGGGTATACTGCTAAAGTGTATCTTGAACCCTCGTCATGCAAGAATAGGACGTTAATTGATGAATTTAGATTAACCGAGTCTTATCTCAGAATGCCAGACTATGAAAACGATCGAATCTCAAACAATTTATTCTATGTAGATTTCGAAGGTAATTTTATCCCTGATTCTGATGGTGAGTATGAATTCGGGTTAATAGTAGTAGGAACGGTACAATTGTTTATTGATGGAAATCTTTTAGTGGATAATAAAACTACGCAGAAAAGAGGAACATCGTTTTACGAGCAAGGAACAGTTGAAGTTAAAAATTCGATCTATTTACAAAAAGGATCAAGTTACAAAATAAAAATTGAATTTGGAAGTGGTCCTACTTCGAAGATCAATGATTTCTTAGATTCGTTAGTTGATGGAAGAGGTGCGGTAGGATTTGGAGTGGCGAAAGTAATAGATCCTGAAAAGGAAATTTCTCGAGCAGTATCTATAGCAAAAAGAAATGATACAGTGGTATTGGTGGTAGGTTTATCGAAAGAATGGGAGAGTGAAAATTTTGACAGACCAGATATGAAGTTGCCAGGCTACATTGATAGACTAGTATCTCAAGTTGCACAAGCAAATCCTAATACTATTGTTGTTAATCAGTCTGGTACCCCAGTGGAGTTTCCTTGGTTGAATGAAGTGCCAGGCTTAATACAGGCCTGGTTTGGGGGAACTGAAGCAGGTAATGCGGTTGCCGATGTAATATTTGGAGATGTAAACCCAAGCGGCAAGTTACCTTTAACTTTTCCTATCAAGGTACAAGATAATCCAACGTTTGTCAACTTTAAGTCTAATAAAGGTGAATTATTATACGGCGAAGATGTATTTGTCGGTTATAGATTCTACGAAAAATGTGAAAAAAATGTTGCATTCCCATTCGGATTTGGTTTATCTTATTCTAAATTTGAGTTTAAGGAGCTAAATTCGTTATCTATCAAAGACGGAAATTTGAAATTTAATGTTTTAGTTAAAAATTCTGGAAATAGAAATGGTTCTGAGGTAGTTCAAGTCTACATAAAAGCTCTATCACCAGGCATTGAAAGGCCATTAAAGGAATTGAAAGATTTCCAAAAAGTATATTTAAAGGTTAAAGAAGAAAATAATGTACACTTCGAAATCGAAATAAAGCGATCTACCTCATACTGGGACTCACTAGAAAACCAATGGCTTTCTGAAAGTGGTGAGTATGATATATTAATCGGTAATAGCAGTGAGAACATACTTTTAAAGACATCCTTCAGACTTGATACAAATATGTACTGGTTATTAGATTAAAGATTAAAACATTTATGACTTAGCTTCTTTTTATTTATCTTATGGCTCTAGTAATTTACGCTAATGACTAACAAATACTGAAACATCCCTGTAGACAAATTAGCATAATATATAGTGTGCTTGCAAACGAGTAAGATCAAGACTGTACGAAAAATAGCGCACTACTCTATTAGTAATTCGTAAGTTTTCAGATAACTATAATATTTAAAAAGGAAACAAAAGTTATAGATGCCACCATCCCAAGTAGAAGATATATCAAAGACAGAGTTAGAGACTCCGGAACATTGTCCTGGACCAGAATCTGAACAAGCTGGAAAAGAAGATGCTTGTAATGGATGCCCCAACCAAGATATATGCTCATCACAACTACCAAAAGGACCAGATCCAGATTTGCCTTTAATTAATAAGAGATTATCGCAGATAGATCATAAGATACTTGTATTGTCAGGAAAGGGTGGTGTAGGTAAATCAACATTTACATCCATGTTATCTTGGGCTTTAGCTGCAGATGAAGAGATAGAGGTTGGTGCGATGGATTTGGATATATGCGGACCATCTTTACCTAGGATGCTCGGTGCAGAAGGTGAGTCGATCCACCAGTCTAATTCAGGATGGTCACCGGTTTATGTAGCAGATAATCTTGGGCTTATGAGTATATCCTTCATGTTACCAGATGCCGATTCGGCTGTTATATGGAGAGGTGCAAAGAAGAATGGATTAATAAAGCAATTCTTGAAAGATGTTAATTGGGGTGAACATTTGGATTATTTAGTGGTTGATACCCCTCCAGGAACCTCAGATGAGCATTTATCGGTTACTACGTACATGAAGGAAGTTGGAATAGATGGTGCTTTGATTGTCACTACACCACAAGAAGTTGCATTGCTAGACGTGCGGAAAGAGATTGATTTTTGTAGAAAAGCAAATATCAAGATTCTAGGATTAGTGGAAAATATGTCCGGATTTGTTTGTCCTAATTGCAAAGGAGAGTCCCAAATTTTTAGACCTACAACCGGAGGTGGTAAGAAGCTATGTGAAGATTTGAATATTCCCTACCTTGGAGCTGTTCCATTAGATCCTAGGATAGGTAAGGCGTGTGATGCTGGTGAAAGTTTCTTTGACAGCTATGCAGACTCACCAGCGTCAAATGCAATTTTAGATGTCGTTGATGCTCTAAGAGATCAAGTAGAGATATCTATTAAAAAACTAAATATATAAATTAATGTAAATATAATATAATGTACTATAATCCTAAGACAATTTTTTTTTTGCGATAAAAGTTTTGTGATGGAAAGATAAGAACTATTAATAAATATAAATAGTATATTTTATAATTAAATATATGACAGAAGTATCACAAGAGACTAAAATTGAAGAATTTATACGGAGTAATCCACATTTCCCTAAATCCAGATTAAACTCGTTGTATAGTAACTTCGAAAATTTGAAGCATCTTAATCCAGAAGGTTTTGAAGCAAATATTCAAGCATGGTCAGATTTGTTGATTAGTTTATTACAATCAGGGTTATTAGCAGGATCCCAAGTATCAATTAATACTTTCAGTCCTAATATTGCACAATTATTAGCAATACCAGTGTATGGCCAACCAAAAGGATTAGGAATAATACTAAATGAACTAGTTCAGCGAAGAGTTCTTATTCCCTATTCATTATATATTAACGCCACCGACTCATATGTTTCTATCATGAATGACTCTATTAAATTTACGGACTATATATCGCCTTCAAAATGGTTACATTGGGGTATTCAACAATTAAGGCTTACAAGCATATTCACTGCAACTAACAAGAAGAATGAGTTAAATAAGGAAACGTACATTTCATGGTCTATTTTGTGTGCTTTCGGACAGAAGTTTGTTAATGAAATTCAAAAAGAAATTAATGTTGGTATTAGGAGTAGTTCACTTTTTGATAAATTATCATGTTACAGTTATATGAAGAGCATTGATCCTGGCCTTTCACCCACGGATTTTGAGATACTACTTGTATACTTTTCAAGAGATTTAGGCATTTGCAAACTTAAACAACAAGACAACATCACTTGTATCAAATTCCTGAATGAAGGAAACTTGAACTATATTAGCGATGAAGATATAGGAATAATCAGGTTGAAATCAACTATTACAGCAATCGAGAAGCGAAATGAAGAATTAGAAATAAAATCTGTAAACATATCTAATAATATGAAAGTTCTTTTGAAAAATAGAAACTCGTCGAATGAAATTGGAACGAACATTAGATTGAAAAATATGTTGAAATCAAGAAGAGAAATACATGCTTCTTTAGAAAAGTCTTCCTCAGCATTAAGCCAATTGAATACGGCCTTATTGAAAATAAATGATGCAACATCTAACAAAAATATATTTGATCTGTTGTCTGAATCCTCTAAACTTTTGAATGCTTTGAATGAAAGTATTAACCTTGATGACGTAGATAACTTACAAATTGAACTAGAAGAAGGGTATGATAAGACTAATGCAATTTCAGAGTCTCTTAGTTCCAGTGGCACTGCCTACATAAATGAAGAAGAATTAGAAGACGAATTGGATAAGCTATATGCACAAGAATCATCTAATATGGAACCTGTCGCCGCTAATGACAGCAATAATACTAATAATAATACGGAAGATGACCTGGAATTAATTCGGAAACTTCAAGATATGAAGGTAAGTGGTAAGATAACTAATAAAGAGAAAAAGCCACTAGAGGCATATAATTAAAATATGACATGTATGTATTAAATATATATACCAATATAAAAAGTAGGTAGTAGCCAGTAACACTCGAGGATTAACAATATTAGAACGATACTTTGGAATCTTGGTTAAATCAGCAGAATTAAAAATTTTCTATAAAATGTAATAAACAATAATAGAAAAAATGTAAAGAATTAAGATAAGAATTGTGAATACTTAAGTTAACCTAAAATTTGCAAAATTTGTTGAGTTAAGTTAAATAATTCAACCTTTGGATCATCGAACTGATCGTTCAGGTCTGGGTTATTGACTTGGCCTTGGTTTTGTTGTGTTTGTTGTTGAGAAGCGCTTAAGTTCTTTATTCCTGATAAGATAGATTCATTTTCTTTTATTAACGAGTTAATTTCCGTATTATTAGATTCCAATAATTGCAAAATCGTCCACAATGCAATATGTTCGAAAGTGGCGCTACCACTTTGTAAAAATCTTAATAAAAACCCGTAAATACCTTCATTTGGCTCAGACCAATTTTTGAAAATATATTGCTTATGTTCGCTGGAAACTCTAGAACAAAGGTTGGCTAATGCGGCCGCAGAATTCCCACATACTTCACCATTTTCACTGAAAGTTAAAGGAATTAAAACATCAATAATATGGCTTTCGTATAACTTAGGCTTCAAGTCATCAGCTAATGCCAATATAGCGAAACAAGCCAGGATTTCCAGTTGCACTGAAAGTGGGACTTTCAATACTAATTCCTTACATTTATCAACGGCACCTGCAGCTAATAACGCTAATCTATTCCTTTCACTTGAAGCTGCCAAGTTTCTCAACGTTGATACCGCATGGCATTGAATTTCCTCCAGATCATTGAAATCCAACAAACCAACCAATGGTTTCAAAAACCCAGCGTCAATGATTAAAGCTTCATTCAAAGGATGGATAGAAATGTTTCTAATACATGCAACAGCTGCAAGGACTAGAGGTTGATGGTTACACGTTAAGAGTTGAACTAAGTGTGGCAAACCACCTGCTCTTACTATTTCAACTTGATAGCCTGAATCCGAAGCCAAATTCCTTAAAGCTAATGTTGCTTGACATTGAACTCTTGGAGATGGGGAATCCATTAAATTAACTAATTGGCTAACTAATTTCGGTTCAGTAGTGGACAATTTCTTACGGTTGATTTCATCAACAGCAATATTGGACAAAGCGGTAGTACAGTAATATTGGACATCTGCATCCTCATTGGATAAGAGAGATACTAATACTGGGACTGCCCCAGCATTCACCAATTCTTGTCTATTCTCCCCTGAATGCGTCATGTTTAATAAAGCACCAGTGGCATTACGCTGAACTCTAATATCTTTGGATTTAGCTAGTTTCGCTAAAGGAATTAAAGCTCCACTCTTTGCTATCTTAGTTTTGTTGTCGTCTTGCGTCGCTAAGTTAGTTATGCACCCAACCGCATTACACTGCACTTCAATATTAGTGGACATCATTTGTCTTATCAATGGTTCTAATCCTCCCATTTCGACAATCAATATTTTATTTTCGTTATTCACGGCCAAGTTACCCAAGGCTCCACAGGCCGCTCTTTGCACTTCAGAATCAGCACTTTGCAAGAGTATTAATATAGGCTCAAGCACGTCCCTGTTAACTTCTCTAACATCTTTTTCCGTGATTTCAGCAAATGCTAATGCTGCACTTCTTTGTAAGTCAATGTTTTCGGAATACACTAGAGTACTGAGTGCTCTTAATGGCCCGTTACTAAAGAAATCCACATCCGAGCGGTTTTCCAAATACTGTAATAGCGCCGAAATTGCTTCCCTTTCATTTTCAGCTAACAAGAGTGGAGGATATTTTGAATCTCTATTGCGTGAACATAAGCAACTGCAACAAGACCCCATTCTGTAAATGTCTTAAAACTACTAATGTATTGATTATATTCTCTATCTTAAAGACCTTTATGCTTGAAACTTCGCTGAATCAGATATACTGAAAATTGATACTTATAAATATTCAACGATAAAAATAAAACTTAACAAACCCAACTGAAACAGTATGACAAATATTGATGAAATAATCTAATTGATTGAATTATATACTCTTGATGAAGAATAGAATAGAAATGCTATCAAGCGTCCGATTAATTAGCTGTACACCTCAAATATCATCTCGGTGTGTGTCCTGCACATATGCCCCGTTTCATTTTTCAAGATGCCTTACAAGAATAGATTAGTTAATATGTATACGGCAATGAGAATATAGTAACTGGTGGCTACGTTCTTCATTTCCATCCATATATCGATTATAGTGATAATTATGTTGATATGTGGTGGGTTCTGCTTACGAACGATAAGGCTATCGCCGTTCAAAAAATTGTCTTCGATACCCATGTTGACCTTACCTGGCATAGTGGGTAGCACAATTAGAAATCGAACAGAATTAGTCGGTAGGGGTTCAATTTTCGGACCCGCTTCCATTCGCAATTTTTCGCAACCACTATTTGTACAGAGTTACTGAGAAACAACACATTTTGATTATGCCTAAATACTAAAAACTGAACATAAATAGATAATCTAATGATTATATAGCAAACAAAGGCTTGACAAATCTGTCAATGTCATCTTCGGATTGTGGTGGCAATATGTTCTTAGTTTGAGGAATCATAAATTCATCGAAGAAATTGCTGATCTTCTTATAACCATCAAGGCTAAAATCAGTGACCATTGAAACATAACCATCAGGTCTAACAACAACAATACAACCCTTTTCGGTATCGATACCATACTTCTTGTATGCGTTACATTCACCTTCGTGCAATGTAGTTTCAATACCAGCATGAAGTTTCCAATAGTTACGACGTTTCTTGTGGTCCTGAGGAATGGCTAAACGAGGGAAGTCAAAAAGTTCAAGCGAATCACGCTTGGATGAGTAGATAGTAAGAACATCAAAGATGGAATCTTCACGAGCATTAACTGGAGTATACTTAATTCTGAAACTGTCTTTGGCGTAAACGAAATCTGAAATCTTATTCAAAATCTCCATCTGTGCGCTTTTTGTAACGTCACCACAGAAGTTCAAGACTCTCCAACGACCATCACTCAACATACGATCCACGAGCTGGATTGGTCTTGCGTCTGAATGAGTGACAACAAGCGATGTATCAAATCTTCTTCCGATTGGAATGTTAGAAGCTTGAGATTCGAAATAAACGTCATCAGTAGTCTCTGGTTTCACGACGAGAGTTGAGGCACTATAATCGACTAAGGTACCAGAAGCAAACACATTACCCTTGTAAAATGCCTTGTGGAATTCGTCCATGTCAACCCCTTCACCCTTTGTTAAGGCATCTTTGCTTGGAATCATTGGTTTACCACTGAACATACGAGATAACTTATGATCAAAGTTAATTAATTCACGAGCAACCTTGATTCTTTCCGATTCATAAGTCGATAAAATATCTCTGGATGCTAATCCTTTAATAACATAAGCTAACTTCCATCCAAGGTTAAATGTATCCATCATGGAGACATTCATACCTTGACCTGCCTTAGGAGAATGAGTGTGACACGCATCCCCAGCAATAAAAACACGGTTAGAGTGTTTAGTGAACTTTGGTGAAACTCTCTGGCCAATTTGGTAACCAGTGAACCACGATAAATCAGTCATTTCAAATTTGAAAGGAGCAAAAATCTTCTGGGCAGTCTTTAAAATAAGTTCAGGAGTAATTTTAGAACGATCAACTCTACCCTTGGTCTTTGCAGTCTTATCTTCGATACCACCACCAAATTCAGATGCATTTTTAGTTGCTGGATCACGTTCAATTTCATTCAACTGAATATATAATCTAACAATGTCATTTTCTCTTGGAATAATCATAATGGAACCAGAGTCTTTGGAGTGGATAGCACCACGCTTTCTAATATCTGGGAAGTCAGTAAGTGGAACCATATCTAAAACCCCCCAAACAAAGTCGGTTGTTTCGCCTTCCATGTTAATACCCATTTGCTTTCTGACCCATGAATGAGCACCGTCACAACCGACAACGTATTTACATTCGATGACCTCAAATTCCTCTTTGTCTATTGTATCATCTTCTTCGATATCGGTCTTTAAATTGGCGTAGAATTTTTCTTGATCACCGTCAAATTGTCTGTAAAGACCATTCTCGACTTTAGCACCAAATTGTTCAGGAATCGACTGCTTCTGTCTTTCATTATCTTTTGTCAAGTTCTTAACAAGGACAGAAACTGGATAGGCTTCCGCATCATCGACCTTCGATTCATCTACATTGATCGACAATGGTAAGAGTGGTCTTTCCACCCCACGTTTGCCTCCAGACCATTTGTTAATCGAATCGTTGAACCATTTTTCAATGTGACCTTGATGTAAAACACACTGTTGGAAACGAGAAATTCCTGGAATGGTATCAGCAATAATAGTACTTCTAGCTAATTCACCATCTTCATTAGGGGACCAGAATGCCATTTCAAGCATATGGTTAGCTTCCTTCCAAGCTCTGTCTCCGAATCCAAGGCTCTGAAAGATTTCCAATGTTCTACATTGCAAACCATCAGCTTGTCCTGCAAAAATATCAGTTGTACGCTTGTCAATTATTCTAAATGGAATACCGGTTCTAGCCAACCAACACGCAGTCATCAACCCTGCTGGACCAGCACCAATGATTAATACTTCGGTTTGAGTCTTTTTAATTTTTGATTCTGTAGTCATTTTGTGAATCTATGATGTTTATTCTTTATTTCATTTCAACTTATTGGACTTTAGATCTCTATATATACAATTTAAAATCTCATCTATATAGTTTTAGGTTTCCGATAAAATGCAATATAGGAGGACACCCCGCAAAATCAATATTGACCGTTTCTTGTCGTAAAAGCTGCGACTGGAAAAATATATGGCATTCGCGGAAAAAGCTTCACGGAGACATGCTATGCTCTGATTTGTGGAGAGCTCATTAAATCCGCAACCTGTAAATTGCAAGAAAAAAGATTTTAGTTGTCTATCATTAGAATAAACACTCCCGAACTGAAATGAAAGCAGCATGCGGATCCAAACCAATTGTCGGGCCCGCGATTCAATAAAAGAGTCAATGTATATTGGACATTCAGAAATCCGAAAAGTTGAAGAATATCTGAAGCATGACTAGTCCTTTCAGATCGTGTATACACAGTTATTTTGGCCAATACTAGTTACCAGGCATTTTAGTATTACTCCATTAGGGTCTATGTATATTTGAGTGGCTGGTGGCTATTATATTCTTACGGAAATATATATAGGAAAAACTAAGGGTTCGTAGTTAAGTATTATCTACAAGAATGGACTACTACAATTTTGATAAGGAAGAAAGCGATGAAACTCTATAGGACTGAGATACTATAGGCTGTAGTATCCAAAGTATGAGGCTTTATTCAGGATTCAGAACTGCTTTGCAGCAATGCGGAAATATTGTCGCACTCTTTCGGCCGTTAGAGAAAAAACTTGCAGCACATGAGTCGGAGTAAATCACTCGTCGCTGAGACGTAACAAGAACAAAGCCATATCTATATACTAATTGACGTAATGAAGCATCATGATATAATAAAAGCTATTATGTACTACATTTAGAAGTTGGGGTAATTGCAGGTATGTATGCAACTTGATTCTTGTATTCTAGACAACTGGGCCTACTTTTGATTTGTACTAATATCTGCTTCAGTCTAATTTCAAATTTTAGAGAAGTATAACTAGAATATGTTACTATAGATCCATCAGCCAAATGACTTGAGTGTGAAGGATACAATAATTATAATAATTATCTTATTATGTTTTATATTCATTATCCATTTAGGCTTCTAAAATTCGTGTTACTAATAAAATAGAGTATGAGGTATAGAATATCGCCAATTATTGAAGTACTTGAATGGCAATTCATTTTTTATAGTTTTCCAGAATTGTATTTATCCAATAATGGGATGCTAATTGTTATTCTTCGGAAATATAAAAGTATCGTCTTATAGGAAGTTGTTGCAGTAGTACTGAATTATGATCTAAAAGATTCGCACTTCACCCCGTCGGAAATGTAAAGTGACGCACTTCAGATATCCGATTTGTGGGACATGGCTAGTATATAATTCAATTGAAAATTGTAAGTTAATTTCATCGAACTGCTTAGTACCAACAATATACTAGCAACATGTCACAGGAATTTACAGACTATGTCATTACATCTATGGGACCTAAAACATCCCCAAAGGCTCGTCGTATTCTTTCATCATTGATCCAACATGTTCACGATTTTACTAGAGAAAACAATATTACAGTCGATGAATGGATGTATGGAGTTGAACTCATCAACAGTATTGGACAGATTTCTGATGCAAAAAGGAATGAGGGTATCTTGGTTTCTGATGTTATTGGACTTGAAGCTTTGGTTGATACGTTAACACATAGCTCGGACACTGCAGACCATACCTCTTCGGCAATCGTTGGTCCATTTTATAGAGATGGTTCACCTGAATATCCAAAGGGTGCCTCAATTATTCAAAAGGATGTCGGAGGTGAAAAAACTCTTGTTAGTGGTCGCATAATGGACACAAACGGCAATCCCTTGGCAGGTGTCAAATTGGAAGTGTGGCATTGTGCACCTAACGGATTATACGAACAACAGGATCCAGACCAGCCAGAATACAATTTAAGAGGTACTTTTTTCTCTGATGATGATGGTTATTATGCATTCGTAGGTTTAAGACCAACTGCTTACCCAATTCCTTATGACGGACCTGCTGGAAAATTATTGCAAATAATGGACAGACATCCGATGAGACCAGGTCATATTCATTGGAGAGTGACTCATCCTGACTACCACTCATTGATCACCCAAATTTACGACCGTGAATGTAAGTACACCGAAGACGATTCTGTTTTCGCAGTTAAAGAGGATATTATTGTTGATTTCGTGCCTGCCAAAAAAGACTTAGCAGAAAAAGGAATTAAGAATGAATTACATTATGATATTGTCTTGACCTTAGAGTCAAAGATTCAAGAAAGTAGACAAAAAATTAAAGATGCACAAGATGCTCTCGAACAAAAATTAATGGAAAAGCACTCTGCTGCGCCAAACGGCACTCGAGCGGCAGCTAGTTAAATATATGTATTCTAATTGTATCTAAATATATGATGATTGCACTAGTATTCTTTATCTTACCTCTGTAGTTGCAGCGTACCTCTCTCCATGGTCATAGGTCCCACCATTGGTCCCTCGTAAACAAGATGCTAGAAATATGCTCAAGCAATAATGTGCAGTATTTGGTGGAGAATTTAATGGGTTCAATAACCAATGATTAAACACTTTATTGTAATATTATTGTGAAGAAGTATATACCAAAATCCAAGATGGAGAAGGCTAAAACCAGAAAGAAGATTACAAAGGCTTGCGATAACTGTAAAAGGCGTAAATTAAAGGTATGTTCTTAGAGATGATGAATAAATTAACTGAACCCTCACTAACAAAATATTTAGTGTAGCGGAGATCTACCCTGTTCACTATGTAAGCAGAAGGATTTTGAATGTGAATATGTTAAAGTGGATAAGCGGACATTGAAAGGACAAAGAAAAGCAATAAATGCGAGTGCTTCTGAAGATAAAACTGCTGTTAAAATACTTGAAGAAGATCGTACGGTTGAACCAAAGTACGGTCGAAACTCTAAAAGACATTCAACTGCCTATCCAGAACATTCCCCTGGATCTATTTGCAATGATTATGGTACCCAGAGAACTGAAGCGACGACTGGACGTAGTACTCTGATGGTCTCAAATAATGGAAATCACCATAATTCGGTTGGTAGAACAAACTCCATTGTAACACTGAATAATACGGGGAGTATAACACAAGGCAGTAAATATCTTCCAAAGAATTTGGAGCCATTACTTTCTTTCCCGATAGAAGATGAAGTTGAAAATAATATACATGGCAAGAGTTCTATAGGCATGTCGTCTCGTGGTACGCACCTGGAAAAAGCGATTGATGACAACGAGGACGACCATGGACTATCTAATGAAGATGGAAGAAATACAAGGTTATTACGAGATTCTGGAGGTAATTTGCGCTATATTGGAGAGAGTAGTCCCCTTTCTCTCTTGTTTGAAAGCCGTAATATCTTTTACAAAAACCTTGGTCATACCAAGTTTACAGATGATCCGCGTCGAATGAGTATAGTTGATGAGCCAGGTAAGCATGTCTCTGGGATACCTGTTCAATTGCCTACAAAACAAGATTGTGATACTTTGGTCAAGGTATTTGATGAAAACATCAATCATACATTTTACGTTTTTGACAGCAATTACCTTAAGCATTGTCTAGTGGATTGTATTTATAAATCTCCAAACCGAGCTCCTAATAATAAATTGGCTTTAATGCACTTAGTACTAGCCTTAGGGTCACTATTTGCAGAGATAAGCCCAGAATATTCCATTAAAGAGCTACAATATAATGATTCCGCAGCATACTTTGAAAGTGGATTTACATTAATTAGAAATTCGGAGGATAATGGTGGTTTATGGCTAAGCGAAGCATATTTTTTGATCTACTTTTATTACCAATCAACATGTAAAAGAAGTACTTCATGGCTCATGCTAAATATGGCAATCAAAAATGCACAAGCCCTTGGTCTTCATAGAAGATTTATTAATGAGTCTTTTAAGGATGTAGCTTATGTTAAGCATAGGCGGCGTTTATGGCAAAGTCTCTACATATGCGATCGTATTTCTTCCATTTTGCTAGGAAGACCACTCAGTATTGGCGATTATGACTGGGATGACTTTGGAGCGTGTGCACCTCGTGGCCCTCTCAAAAGTAATGATGATTTTAGGGCCCTATGTCAAATGGAAACAGCTAAAATAGCCAAAATAAATGGTAAAATAGTTGAGAATTTCTATGGGGAAGGTAAAATAAATACAATCAGGGCGAAAAAATTGGCAATTGAATTAAGAAAATGGTCAATGGACTTGAGAAATGAAATACAAATTGATAGACTCTTTACATGGGACGAAACTTTAAGTGAAGACTTATTTTATCCTTTGCTTTTGACACACTTGTCTCAGCTTTATGGTATTGTGTTATTAAGTAGACCATTCTTCATGTATTTGTCTTTTCAAACTCTGCAAGCTACAGAAAAAGCAGAATTTTTATTGACAAACTTCCGAAATGCTTGTATTAAAGCTGCGATTTTAACGATAAAATTTATTGATTACTTCTTAGCAAAATTCCACAGGCGAATGGAACTGTTCACCACTATCAACTGCTGTTTTAACTCAGCACTTATCTTGGGTCTTCAGATAATGCACGAGAAAATTAATGAGGCCCAAGGGAAAGTTATGGAGTACAACATAATGCTTCTTATGGAAACACTTGATAGAGCTAGAAATATTTTATCCAAGTATGGCCCAATGAGTGCCACTTCTGCCAGATTTAGTGATATCATAAGCAATATGCAATCCTCATTTAGAGATAAGTTCAGTTTTCCAACAGATAATGGAGCTGCACAAATACAAACACGATTGCCTGAAATTCCTATTACTCCATCTATGAATTTAAATGAGACTGGGGGAAATACATTTAACGGCATTAATACACCTGGGTTCAATTTAGCGCCGGATTTAGATAATATGCTAGATTTCCAGCAATTTTTTTTGCCTCCCGAAAGCGCTTCACCTTCTAATACTGAAACGAGTGATAAGCAAGATATTATGGACCTATTTATGTATAATTTTGGAAAAAGTGATATTTTGTTTGATAACCGGTTCTAATATGGACATTGAAACATTAATCTATTATTCATACATTCATGCATTCATTTCTCAGCTAATTGTACATAATCTATTTAATAAATGACTGAATAGCCCTTAACACTTGTTCGTCGTCTTCGATAGCATGCCAGTGGCCAACACCCTTTAACAGATATACTTCACTGCTTTGAAGGTTATCGCTTATTAAGGAAACACACCCATCCCAAGGTGCAGTTTTATCATCTTCCCCAATAATAAGCAATGTTCTCTTGTCGTTGTTTTTATATAAGTCCAAAAACTCATCTGATTGAAGTCCTGCTTTTGAAATAACTCTACAATTGGCTATATAGCCCTCGATAGTCTGGCCAGAAACAAGTTCACGAATAAATGCTTTTCTGAGGTCAGTGCAATTAGTTCCAACTGCATTTTCCAGAACCGAGTTTGCTATGTCTGATAACGAATTAGCTTTCTGAACAGCTTGGATTCTTTGGTCGAAAACTTCTGAAATCTTCTCTGTTGGATGAACTGGACCCAAAAGTACGTTCTGCTTAATGTTCAACTTTTGTTTGAATTCATTATTCATATAATTAACTATCATTCCTGACATTGAGTGTCCAACTAGAGTTATTTGCCTACGCGAAAGATCCAATTCTAACAACAAATTGAACACATCTTGGCCCATAGATTCAATAGAAATGTCAGGGCTCGATAGCGGTGTTCTCCCAGCACCATTATTGTCAAGCACAATACAAGTATGCTCGGACGAGAGCTTTTTCGCAATCGAATAATAGAAGTTTTGAGATGATCCAAGCCCATGCAAAAAAACAACTACTGATTCTGAACTCGTAGCAGTTAAAAATATCGTGTGAAAAATACTCTTTGTCCTAGCGACTGATGTTGTAATCATAGTTGTGGCTGATAAAATTAATATAAATACTCGATTTCTAGAAATGTTCCTCTTTATATATAGTTCGCGGATATATGCAAGACAAATGATTCGGAAACCAAAATCATATATAAACTTATCTATAGCGAGGAGCATAAATTTTTGCTCCATAATTATTAAAATGACTAAATTTGCGAAGGACTTAGATTCAAATAAAAAATTGAAGAGCTTTCTTGAAGGCTTCTATAAGATTTCTGATACCAAACCTCCTGTTCAAGGAGACGAATATGTGGATTATTTTACTCCTGAAGCTACTCTTCTCTTAGGAGCAAATCAGGCCAAAGGCTCCAGCGAAATAAGACAATTACGTCAAAACATATGGTCCAATGTCTCAAAAAGACATCATGTAGTCCACAATGTTGCTGCTGTGAATGATACCGATGTTTTGCTCAATGGTGATGTTGATTATGTTTTGAATGATGGTTCAAGTTCAACCAAGTCATGGGGTGCTTATATTGAATTTGAGTCTCCAGCACAGGAAAAAATGAAGTATTATCGAGTTTACATTTGATTATAGACTCCATATGATTGAAGGTCTCATTGGTATATAATGAAAATACTTACATTGTAGGAATAAATGCCTATTTTTGTTGTTATCCGTAGACTTAGTAGCCATATCTATATATCCGAGATAATTGGAGATCGGATATTACTCGGAAATGATAAACGGAAATGTGATAATGAAGTTTGTACGGAGTCCGACATGAACTATATATAAGAACTATATTCCTAGTGATGAACCTAAGAAGCCAAAAGCATAACAAAAAATGACTGGGTACTCGCAATTTGCCGAAGCTCAACGAATCTTTAAAACTTTACTCGAAGATCAAAGCTTACCAGTTCCTGATGAATTCAAGACGTTAGCAAATGATGTAAGCTTTTATAATAAATCAGATAGTCTTGTATTGCCATGCAGGTTAAAAGAATGTGAAATGGCCGCTGCCTTGAAAGGTTTGGAAGCTACTGCTGCTATTGCTATTGGTAATTTGAGATTTGGAATCAATGATGGTGCGAAAATTGATTTGCAGCATGCATTAATGTTCCTCTTTCTGACATACTTGGCTTCTGTAGATGGTATGACTAAATTGGATAAGAGAGTTCTTTCAAGATTGAAGCCAACAGACTTAAATGAAGCTCAGTCTATTACTTATAGAAGAATGTCTGCCAATTTGTACCAAACTAAGGATAAAAGATACTATCATATTCATGGGTCCTTAGAAGCTTCTACTACTTTAAATATGATTGGATTGCCAGCATATGCACCCGAACTTACTGAGTATGAGGATGTAGTGAATGTTATTCAAGGAGCTGTGAGTAAATTCGATTGTGATGACTTAGAAGCTTTGAATACTCAGAATCGTCAAGCTGGTGTTGAGGCCTTGACCGAAGATCAATTTTTAGAGACAAAGCACGGAAGAATCATCCTGAAAGAACCATATTGGACAATTGAAAGTCTTGAGCAAGAAACTCCACCGGTAGCATTTACACCATTGTCTACAAGTAGTGATAAACCTAAAATTTTGGAAGGAATAAAAATCTTAGAATTGTGTCGTATAATTGCTGGTCCTACAATTGGTCGTATATTAGCAGAATATGGTGCTGAAGTTATCAAAGTTACCTCGCCTAATCTTCCGGACGTGCCTTTTTTCCAAGTTGATGTTAATGTGGGTAAACATACTACATCATTGGATTTAAAGGATGAAAAGGATAGGGAAACATTTGAAGGTTTGCTTCGTGATGCTGATGTAATTCTTGATGGATACAGAACAAATGCAATTGAAAGATTGGGATACGGACCCTCAAAGATTGCCGAAATGGCTAAATGTAGAAAAAAGGGTTATATTTATGGTTCCGAAAATTGCTTTGGTTTTACTGGTCAATGGTCTGGAAGACCTGGTTGGCAACAAATTGCTGACTGTGCTTCTGGTGTTGCTTGGATTCAAGGTAAGGCATTGGGTTTAGATGAACCAATTATCCCACCCTTTCCTATGTCCGATTACGGAACTGGTTGTATGGTTGCAATAGCTGTCCTAACAGCCATTTACAAGAGAGCACGTTACGGTGGTAGTTATTGGTGTAAATCTTCATTGGTGCAATACGATTTATTGTTGATGAAACAAGGATTATACCCAGATGAATTATGGAAAAGTTCATTAAGTCAACATGATAAGGATATATTCAATTTAAGATATTATGACTCTGTTGACAAAATTTCGTCCACCTGTCTCCGCTCGATGAAAAGAATAAAACCAGAGTTATTCGATGATACCGTTAGTGAGAAAAAGTATATGGAGGAGATGGATGCTCCTGCCTTTAAAGGAAAAATCAAAGTATTGAAACCAGTGATCGAATATTCATCCACTTCCGTGGGTTTCGACACCCCCAGCAGACCAAACGGTTACGATAAACCTGAATGGTGGAAATAAATTGGAAACCATATTTTGTATATAAGCTTACATATATATGACATATACTATAGAAGGTCATATATTCATGTCTGAATTTAATAATTATTTAGCCTTGACATAACAGACTTCCCTCTAAACTAAATAGTTTTAAATCCAGAACCGATGTATCCTTAAAATCATACTTCTAAAATAATCCTGTTAGTACCTTACAATACTCTTATGTTTTCGATATATACTTCTATTCAACTTTATCCGATTCCCGCTAAATATAATCTAACTTCTCACTTAGATCTCTGCTTCACCCAAAATCTACCGTCTGGAAAATAACCCAGAGTCTCTTTTTACCACCATTTTAAGAGAAAGGATATTCTGAATCCATTCATCTTCGAAGTTATCTCTTCCAAGACAAAAGGTATCCGTGAGCTAGAGGACGAATGTATATTTCGCAACCTTACTTGATACACAAGGGGCTTGTTGCAGCATCTAATTCCTAAAAGGTTCTCGCAGGAATAAAACTATTTTTTCGAAGAACTATATTTAACATCTAATAAATCTATAACATTGAAAATATTGCAATAGAAGAAGATGTCAAAACCGTTGGTCATTCATTTAGAGCCAGTTAGATATAGCCAACAACTATGGGTAGATATTGAAGAAATTGCTAAGGTAGAGCTTATTGGTGAGTATTCAAGGGAGGAGTTTATTAAAGATCTCCATGGCAAATACGCAAATATTGTTGCCATGGGAAGAGGATACCTTTCAGGACAAAAGGTTGGCATGTTTGACGAAGAATTAATATCCCATTTTCCACCTTCATTGAAATATATTGCACATCAAGGCACTGGATATGATCAAATAGATGTTGAAGCATTGACTAAGCGTGGTATTCAGGTATCTAATTGTCCGAATATCACCACTAATTCGACAGCCGATACAAACATATTTCTTATGCTTGGGGCTATGAGAAACTTTGAAGCGGGACGTCAGAATCTTATTGCTGGTAAATGGCCAACTGGTGGGCTTGGTGCTGGTGTAGAAGTGGGTTATGCCCCTTAAAGAAAAGTTTTGGGGATTATAGGCATGGGAGATATCGGCCGTGCTGTCAGGGATAGGGCAGAATCATTTGGTTTTGAAAAAATAGTTTACTATAATAGATCGAAGTTATCACCTGAATTAGAAAAGCAATGCGAATATGCTTCAACACTTGAAGAATTGGTCAGTGTTTCCGATGTGATATCCATAAACTGTCCCTTGAACAGATCAACTTACCATTTAATTGATGACTCCCTAATTTCCAAAATGAAAGACGGTGTAGTAATAGTGAATACAGCAAGAGGTGCAGTTATCCATGAGCAGGATATGATAAAACACTTGAAAACAGGTAAAATTGGTGCAGCCGGATTGGATGTGTTTGAAAACGAGCCTGTGCCTTCTAAGGAACTATTAGACATGCCCAGCGTGTTGGCTTTACCTCACATGGGCACCCATACAGTGCAAGCTTTCTCCGACATGGAGAGCTGGACAATTCATAATATACGTTCTGCATTATTGACCGGTAAGGTTCAAACAATTGTTCCAGAACAGAAGAACACTAAATTTAATTAGAGCGCTTACAGACTTCTACATGTAATTAGACTATTAGAGACTTCCACATACAATAGACGAATAAAATATACCCACCTGTATGGTGATTACCTATAACCTCTTATTAAACTACAGTTCACCAATTGAACTCTTCTCATATTAGGGGTCAAGAGAATATTAATAACGCTGTAGAAATGCTGAAAATACCTGCTGAGCATAACTTACAGAATCACTCTTCTTATTTTTCATTTATGTCCATTTCTCATTTTCTTCGTCAACTCTGTACCACCCTAACTAATTAAACTTTGACTCAGTCTATCAACTTTCATGGTTCGAAATCATGATCTGATATGCCATAATAAGAAATTCTACGGCTATGTATCCTATGAATGACGTTTCCAGGGCCTAAGAATTTTCTCTCCGGAAAAGATGGTTGAAATTTTCGAGAATGACCTTTGTGTCACTTTGAAGTTGATTAAGGATCCAACGGCATATATTCATTATGCTATCCTTGCCAATTGATAATTATTCTGGTGTATATTAGTATTTCTAATTCAAGAGCTATTTCAATACAACCTGTATTTATATAAGTTAAAAGAACTATTTTCGGATTGAGTGGATATTAATTGCTACAAAAGTTAGAAAGATGGGACTTAATAATCCAATACCAAGGAGTTTGAAAAGTGAATCAAAGTATGTATGAATTACAAATATTTGATCAATAGGCATAAGAGCTGTATAAGAATATGTTAGAAATGATGTACTAACCATTTTTTAGGAAAGCTGCTAAAGTTCTTGCTTCATTTGTAAAGCCTAATCAATTTGCTGGGGCAGACCAAGTTATTCCCCCAAATGTTTTGAAAAATGCTAAAGGTTTGGCAATTATTACTGTATTGAAAGCAGGATTCTTGTTTTCTGGAAGAGCAGGTTCGGGGGTTATAGTTGCTAGACTTCCAGATGGTAGCTGGTCTGCACCATCAGCCATCGTCACAGCCGGAGCTGGTGTGGGGGGACAAATTGGTGCCGAGATCACTGATTTTGTTTTCATTTTAAATAATAAGGCTGCTGTCGATTCGTTTGCACAAATGGGGTCAATCACATTAGGGGCCAATGTTTCTGTGGCTGCTGGACCATTGGGTAGAAATGCAGAAGGTGCGGGTACTGCTTCGTTGAAGAGTGCCTCGGCCGTATTCTCATATTCCAAAACTAAGGGATTGTTTGCCGGTGTATCTTTGGAAGGTTCGGCCATTGTTGAAAGAAGAGAAGCAAACAGAAAGTTTTATGGTAGTAATTGTAAAGCCAGAACTATTTTGGCGGGCAATGTCGAACCACCACCAGCGTGCGACTCGTTGATGAGAATCTTAGATTCTAAAGCTTTCAACAACAGATTGCCATATGATGATGATGAATTTTACAACGACGATTACTATGATGATATTCCAGATGAATTCTCCGATACTACGTCGACCCAATCTAGATCAAGAAGAGGCACTGGAGTTTCTCGTTCAAGAAGGTATTCTGATGACTATGGGTATTCTGATGATGATTATTCTGACGATGATGATAGCTATAGAAGAGGCGGTGCTGGTGCTGGTCGAAACAAACAATCCTCAAATAATAATGGAAGACGCTCGGCATGGGAGGATGATATTTATGATTCTACTGGCTCAAGTAGAAGACGAACTAACAGTGATGTTGATAACTTAAATTCTTCGTTCAGTAATACTCGTATATCTAATAATGGTCCGTCCAGGCCTCCAACGTCTAGTAAACCAAACTTTGGGGGTGCAGCAAAGACTAATTCTAGTCAAGCAATTGCCTTGTATACATTCAAAGGAGAACAAAATGGTGACTTACCATTCAAAAAGGGTGATGTAATTGACATTGTAAAGAAGTCAGAAACATCGAACGATTGGTGGACTGGGAGAAACAATGGCACAGTTGGTATATTCCCTGCTAATTATGTTGAATTGATTTAGTTGTTATATAGATGTATGTTTATTTATCTTTTCTTCGTTTCTATATGTATAAAATATAAAAATATTCATTGCGGAATTGCAATCAGAAGCTACGCTAATGAAGGACATATTTGTTTTGTTTCAAACATTGATAAAGACTTTCAATATTATCTTTGTTTCTATATTGAATATGTAGCAGTTTATAACCCATGTTATTGATTCTTACGACGCCCATGGACACAGGAGGGCAAACTTTGCTTATTTCTTTTCTGAATTTGTTAGTGTCAGCAGATAGCGGGAGGTTTCGTATCGTGATAAATCTCCGTCCATGATATTTTTGTTCAATAATTTCATCACCCAAAGGCTTCTCTCGTTCTTCTGATTTTAATTCCCTTTCACATAAATTTGTTGCTTCCTTAAGTTTTAGGTCCGAATCTCCTACTTCCTCAGTCTGGAGATCGCGGTCGTTGTACAAATGTTTATTTTCTAATATACCTGTTTCATTACTGACAATTATATCATTGTTTAACTCCTTAGAGTGTTGATCCATATTCTAATTGTACAAAAAATTATTTGTGATATTAGTTTACCAGATTTTATGATGTTAATTATGTCGTGAAGTTATTATTTGACTATTTCTTCAAAATATTGCACAATGAGTAAAAAATATGGCTAAGGTAAAAGTCAATTTTTATATATTGACTATTTTTTAAGATACTATCTAATTAACTGTACTCTTGATATTGCCTTGTAGTCTGATATTTTGGGCTAAACATGTTTAAGACATCAGTAATTTATTAGGAATTGTTGCAATCATGCGTCAGTTTGTGGATGCAAAAAATAGAAAAAAAAATCGCACAAAAGGCGCGTACCCATTACTCAAAACCTAGGTAATTTAACTAGATATACATCTAATATCAACACTAACCTTATATATCATATCTTATAGAACAAATCTGATATTTAAATATCTACAATTGATAATCTATGCTGACTTGAAATTTTGTTCTACAAAATGCCTGACAATAGTTTTTCCTTCTTCAAAAGCAGGCTCATCTTGTCTCACTATAGCTGCCGAGTGAGTCAACTTAGTGTTTCTGATTATAACGGGAACTTTTTCCCACTCAAGCATGTTTAACTTATGAATTATATATAACTCATTGCTAGATAAATTTAATCTGAAGCTATCAATATTTTTGCCGTTCAAAGCAACAAGCTTAGACTGGGATAATGATGGATCAGAGGGAACTTCATAGTTTTCCATTTCTTTAATCGTTGATGAAAAATCGGCATCAGACTTTTGTGATGGTGTATCTCTCGACTTGCGTTTTCTCGTTCGACTTGAAATACTATACTCATACTCTTCATAGCCTTGGCTATTAGCTGCATCAAATATGGAATCGACAAAAATATCAGTCTGGTCTCGTACCTGTTCACCCAATTCTTTTTCTAACGAATAGAATAATGACTCATGAGGTTCATGTTTGCTATTCTGTTCAAGCTTATATTTCTCATTTGCAGGGTGGGGAGTCTCGTCTTCGGAGGTACTATCGTCAAAAATATGATCGGGATAACTGTATAAATGTAGTAAAGATGTTTCATTGAAAAACAGCGAAACTCTCTTATTCAACTTTATTCGCTCTGAAATAGTTTTATAGAAAAACCAGAAGAACCAAAGTGGGGTGAACAAAATAACGCTCACCAAGAGTTTTAACCATGGTACTATCTTTGACACTGTGGATCGAGCATGTGCACTCTTTGTTTCCTCGAGCTTGGAAAACGAAATAGGCTTAGTAAAATCTATAACTGTTGGTTCGTATCCTTCCACATAGTCAAAATCGTAGGCACTTGCATTTCGGTCAACCATGGATTGGAAGGGATCCATAGTAGCTATTGCTGCGGTAAAGAACCCTGCCCTCTTATCTCCAATAGCATTTGCATACACTGATCTATGTTTGAATTTTGATAAAGCAACATAAAAAGTTGAGGCTGGTTCTGCCATCCACACTAAAAGTGGTAGATTGTGATTATTATTTCCCGCATAATCCGATTTAACTTGTTGCTTATCTTTTAAAAACAACTGGGCCCCACTATGAGCAAGAAAGTAAGAAGCAAACCCATTGAACATTTTTGACAGAAATGAATTGTATGGTTTAATAGCTCCCACATGTGGTGAGCAAAATGTAATAAAGTTAACTGGCTCTGCTTTTTCGAAATAGCCTTCGTAATACAAAACCCCGATCGCATATCGAGATATCAACCCTCCCAAAGAATATCCAAGTATAGAAAACTTTCTGACTTTATGTCCTGTATTATCGAGCTTATCCGTCTCTGCAGTTATTTCATTCGCAATTCTTTTCCCGTTAACATCAATTCCGTCATAAGTTAAAAATCCTCCATGTGAATTGGTCTTGTACGTAATAATCTTTTCTCCATTAGGTGGTTTGATTTGCTGGATTTGTGATTCAAGGTAATCCATGTGTGAACAGGTACCCCATAGACTATTAATGTTAGTAATATTCTTATGTGTTTCTAGACATGTCAAGAGACTTTAACATACCCATGCACCAATACAACTAGATGATACAGAACCATTTTATTCGTTTTAATTTTTCCTCAACTGTGATGGTTCTACTTCTACTGTTGATTCGAAGGGGAGATGACTTTATTAGTGTCTTCTTAGTATCTATATCTTGACATTCTTTAACTAGTTAAGTATATTTCAAGACTAGTTGCTGCTTTCGATATCAATCTTTCACGTGCTACCCCTATTATCCATGAAGAATTTATGGCACAATCCACTTGTTGGTTCCCCTGTGATTGATCTTTGTGAACTAGCGACGACTCTAGAGCACATGAAATTTGAAGAAGGATAGCATATGAAATGTGAATTGCAAACTGTAAGCAGTTTGTTTATGAGGGAAAATTTGTATTGACATATTATTAGTAGATCTTAAAATCGACTGATATCGACTTGAAGTATAATAAAACGATAGGATATGCTTCTAATGTTATTTATTTACAAGTATTTAGTATAGAATATGTTCAGATATTTCTTTATTTCTTATTCGAAGCATTTACTGATCAACAAACCACATGCAACGCTGACATTCAACGAGTCAACAATATCGACACCAGATCTTCTACCTTTGTTTAAACCAACTAGATAATCAGACTTGAGCTTCAAATTTGTTCTTACACCTGCACCTTCGCTTCCCATGATAAGTAATATCGGAGATTGCGCCATCATCGACGATAATTCATCGACTTCGATGAACTTATTCTTTAAATGTTCTTCTACCTTTTCGTGCTTCAGCTTTAAATCTTGCAATTCATCAAAGTTGGGTTTAGCACTAGTGGTGATTACGTTCCAACCACTGTTCTTGACATTTTCAACAAAGCGTAAACTATCAACAGTTTGGTAAATATTAGTCAAGTCAAGAGAACCAGCGGATGCCTTGTTTGCTACGGGACCTAATCTTGCTGTATCGTGATCAGGAACCACTATGAAATCTGCACCCAAATAATACGCCGATCTAATAATAGCCCCTATATTTTGTGGGTCCGTAATACCGTCGAGATATATCCCCAAGGGGTACTTAGAGCTGGATTCATCTGAGAAGCTACGAATGACCTGTTCCAGTTTCTGTACTTCGCTGTTGTATAATTCGTTAACTATCGATACTTTGTATGTTCCCAGTTCTGGGTCACATTCACCCAAAGAAGATATTATTGGAAGCTCAAGCGGCTTTGTCTCTAATACAATTCCATTATGTACTCCATTCTCAGATAACACATTCAAATCACCTTTGCTGTCCTTTCTATCTATTCTTAGGCCGTATTTTTTGGCCAACTTGAAGATTTCACCACTTGCTTCTTTTGGATTGTGCGTTATCAACTTATTAAACAGACCTCTTTTATTGGCCATCAAAGCTGCCATTACGGGAAAAGTACCATAAACATATTCACTTAACGGGTTCTTGAAGGCTTGTCTAAAGTCACGGTTACCTCCAAATCGAGAAAATCGGTCTTCTTTTTCTTGCCTTCTATATTGTCGATCAGCATCCTTTCTCTCTTTTCTAGCTCTCCGTTGCCTCTCAACTTTCTGATTTAAAACCTCTCTTTCTTTTTCGCTTATGGAGCCATATTTTTTCATAAAGAATTCGTCTTTTGTCTGTTCTCCATTATCCCAAGGTTTACGTTTTTGCTGCTTAGGAAAATTTTTGTCAAAATGTTTAACACCTTCATTCAGGTAATGTGACTTGAAAACTGGTTTGATATTCGATTCATTTTTATTCAAAACATTGGATACGACAGAGAACCGTCTGATAGAAGTCTTGAGCATAGCCGTAATGTTTATGGAAATATTGATATCATGAAAGTCTTCTCTTCTGATAGTGAAATATTTTATGTACTTAAATCACGTGCAGCATCAGATGCTCTATCAATACAAGGGTACTTGGTGGAGGAAGTGAGTTCCAAGGTAGATAAAGTTGTCTATCGAGAGGGCTGAAATAGTAAAGCAAGCTGATATGGATATATTACGAGAAAGAGCATTTATGTTATGTATTAAGTTTGCTATTTATACGTAGCTAGAGCTTCTAGTCCCTCAATCTCAAGAAATGGTTGCAGAGATGTGCATCCCGCAGATATATATTACTGAATAGTCGTTAAAATAAGACGCCTTTAGTACTTGGAACATCATTGGTACCATTGCTAGACGTTGCTTCCTTAATAGCCACAGCTAATGCCTTGAACGCACTTTCAGCTCTGTGATGATCGTTGAATCCCCTCAAACAATCGACATGGAGAGTTATAGCAGCACCTTGGGCAAAACTTTCCAACACATGTGGAATCATTTCGCACGATAAATCACCGATCTTTTCTCTCTTTAATCCCAACTCAATCACGGCATATGGTCTGTTTGATAAATCAACGACAGCCCTACTTAATGCTTCATCTAAAGGAGCAAAACCACAACCAAATCTCTTGACACCTTTCACTTGTCCAAGTGCCTTGTGAAATGCTAAGCCTAGTGTGATACCAACATCTTCTGCTGTATGGTGGTCGTCGATATGAAGGTCTCCGATGCATTCTATGATCAATGACCACCCAGAATGTTTGGCCAACGCATGTAACATATGGTCCAAGAACCCTATGCCTGTCTGGACCTGAATTACTTGTGTTGAGGTAGCCTGGGTCGCATGACTATCATCTTTAGTCTCATTGGTGGAATTCTTGAAAATTGACTCTTCCAACGCTATATGGCCTCCTTCCAAAGATATGGCAATTTGGATCTTGGTTTCATTAGTATCTCTTTTAATCGTTGCAGTCTTGGCCATCTTGATTACTGCTTTTATGGGTATTAGAGTAGTATGACTAACACTGAAAATTGTGAATAATTGATATCAATCTTGGTTCTGCATATAACAAATAATGCTCTCATCGATTATAACACTAGTTCTAGATCAAAGTGTTAGGCTTCATTTTAACTTACAATATATCCCTAAAAGATTTACCTTAGCTAAATACTGAAAGGTGTTATAAAATTATAGATAGATTTAAACCTGTCTACTAGAAATGGGAGTTATCTCAAAGAGTTCGTTTGAGCGGACAGAGGTCATTGGTCGAGGGAAATTTGGAGTTGTTTATAAAGGGTATAACAAACAAACGAAGCAAGTAGTTGCCATAAAAGTACTAAACTTAGATACTGAGGAGGATGAGGTTATAGATGTGCAGCAAGAGATCCAGTTTTTGACAGAATTGAAGAATGTACCCAATGTAACGCATTACTACGGATCATTTTTAAACGATACAAGGCTATGGATTGTGATGGACTATTGTGCCGGTGGTAGTGTTCGTACATTACTTAAATGTGGAGTTTTTGAAGAAAAGTACATTGGGGTGATATTGAGAGAGTTATTGATTGCGTTACAAGCGGTTCATAAGTTAGGGTTTATACACCGAGATCTTAAGGCGGCAAATGTGTTGATAACGAAAGAAGGAAATGTTCGATTATGTGATTTTGGAGTAGCGACGCAAATAACATCAAATGCATTAAAACGGACTACTATGGCTGGGACGCCGTATTGGATGGCACCCGAAGTTATACGTGAAGGGGACACATACAATGCAAAGGCCGACATTTGGTCATTGGGAATTACTATATATGAAATTGCGACAGGAAACCCTCCATATTGTGATAAAGACGCGATGTGGGCCATGCAAATGATATCCAAACTGACGCCACCAAGATTGGAGGGTCGAGAGTATTCATCTGCTTTGAAAGAAACTATTGCATTGTGTTTAGATGAAAATCCGGAAGAGAGACCAAGCGCAGAAGATTTATTAAAATGTAAGTTTGTTAAATTCTACAAAGGTCATCCAACAGTGGTACTAAAGGAAGTTATTTCAAGATATTTACTTTGGAGAGATCGGGATTCTTCGAGAGATTCAGTGGCTTATATGAACTTAGAGGAGAATATGGTACCAACTCATCCTCATGGCAACGAAAATATTGAAAATGATAATGATCACCAGCTCCAAGTCAAGTGGGATTTTGACTCTTTGAGTAGTCGTGATTATATTATTGAGAATGATATAGATATGGATCAAGTTGAGGAAAACTATAAAGATCCGTACAGGTACAACGAAGAAGATGCAGCTAATGATACATATCAGACACAGTCTACATTACAGATGGGCAATACCTTGAATAATACTAGATCAAATTTTGCTACAAGTACTTTAAATAATGATTCAAAGTTTGCAAGCGATAGAATAAATGCAACTGGAAGTACGCCCAACTCAGAGATCCCAAAATCACTTTTAACCTTGTTCCAAGAAGCATCTCCCGAGATTAATGCGGCCTCCAGTAATATCAGTGGTCAAGGATTCGAATTGCCCCCATCATTTGTACCTAGTGACCAACGACTAGAATCGCCAACTATTGAGATTCCAGATATGGATAATTATGGTGGATACGGAGATAAACCCATAACTAATACTGGACAGCCGTCTCTTAATAAGCCACCTACTTTATATCATTCTCAATCAGCATCTGGTAATTTAGAAACCAGGTTTTCAACATCAGCATCTGCCAACAGACAAAGAAAGTTAACTATATCAAATACATTTGGAAGTAATTCAAGTGCATCACATCAGCCACCCCGTACGCCTTCATCAACTACATCTTCGAATTTAAAAACTCCATCTCCAAAACCAGTTCCAACATCCTCTCTCATGAATGCCGCAGGCATGTCGAGCACTTCTTCGCCATCTAAATCAATGAAGGCTCTCCAATCCAATTCAAATCCTTTGCTTCAACCCATTAACTTTAAATTGACAAACGAGCCAAGTGGTTCCAATTCAAATGGTGCATCAAACCTTGGACCAACGAATAATAACAGTATTACTCCTAACAATATTACCAACGGCAATGGTAACTCAAATCTAGGACCTTCTCAGAATAACCCAAACGGCAGCGTTAATATTAATAATTCAAATATCAATCAACCATCGACATCGCATCTTCAACCTGCTACAACCGCAAAACCAAAGAAACCAAGGCCAGGGTTTCATATTCAAATGCCTACACCATCTAATTCAATTAATCCACTCTCTGCATTGACCCATGAATTTGATCTGCACAGTAACCCAGCTTCCCAAAGCGATAACGTGAATCAGTTTGGTATTAATCCATCCCAGATTGGTAACTTGCCTTTAACAATGACTCCTGTAACTGAGAAGGAAAATCTTTCTTATCCTACTGAAAGCGTAACTGATTCTGAGGTTATTAATACTTCATCTAATTCAAGGCATCATCCAGCTCAATTAAAGAAGGCCAATACTTCTTCAGCAGTACCTACGTCGAGCCTTCCTACCACTAGTAACCCGTCTACAATAAACTCGTTTTTGCCTAGAACTACTTCATTAAGTGGTGCGCATGGCAATAGAGAAAAGTCGTCACAGACTTTCCCACAAATTCCAAGTATCAATGGAGAATTTTTCCTCGACACAACTCCTAAACACAAGTTGATAAATGAGCTTGATACAATGATTAAATTGTTTAATCAAGGGTTAGAGGCTTTAGAAAATGATATTTAAATATGAATTAATATGTATAATAGGTAAATAGACCACAAAATATGTAACGAAAATGTCGCATTGAATGTCGCGTATATTATTTCAAAAACATTAAAAATTGACCATAGTAGATAGGCGTTATAAAGTTTGTGTTTATTATTTCTATATCAGGTACAATGGCACCTCGAATAAGACGTCGTATCACTACCGCAAAGCGGGAAGAAATTGAAAAACAACAAAAAGCGTTATCACAAGCAATTGTGAGACCGTTTGAGGTTCTCTCTGGTTTGCCAGTATCTTATAATCCACCTCCGAATGGTCATTATGAGAATGTCTTAAAGAATCCACTTACAACAAAAGATACAGGTGTTCTTTATAGATCACTTATGAAGTCTAGGTTAAATTATATGAATATTGGACCTATGTTTAAATTATACTGGTTGAAGCAAAGTTCATATGCAAAAAAAATGCAACAATTGGATCAAGAAAAGAATACTTACAAGGCGCATAAAGATGATAAATCATCAGAAAGGGTTCCTATATTGGGAAATGATGTAAGCGCAAGGGATGTAATGGTTAAGCTTTGCGATGCATCTCTTAGTTTTGGGCCTCATAAATTTGAGATACGGTTATTCATTGCCAAAGACGAAAGGTCCGAAAAAAACGGCAAGAAGAAAGACGAAGAAGACAAAGTGAAGAAAGAGCCAAACAGTAAAGAAGAATTGGATGGGAAAGAAAGTGCGATTAGCACGAACAAAACAGCCGATTCAATTAATGAAAATGCTAATATTAAGGAGAAGTCTGTGGAATCTAACTTATCAAAGTCCACTGAAGAACAGAAATATCAATCGCAAGAAACTCCCATCAATGAAGAAAGTTTAAAAGAAGAGAATTCAAATGAGCCCAAGGATAATATCCCTACAAGTGTACAATCTGCGCAATCTATAACCAATGAGACCCAGAAAGTACCAAATGAAACTAGTGACTCAAACCTGGAACGAAAAACTAATTCTACAGACAGCCCTCAAAAGGATCAAGATAAACAAAAGACAAAACCAACCCCAAATGAAAAGTCGGAAACTATGAGTTCCAAAGAAGGTGAAAATGATTTCAAGAAGAAAGTGACTTCTAAGGTTAATTCAAAGGAAATAGATAAAAAAGAAGATCAAAATGAAAATAGTCAGAATATCTCAAATATCCATGAAGGTGACTCCAAGACGCTGAAGAATTCGACTACAACTTCCAATGTTGAGAACATAAATACGTCCAGCAATCCACAAACAGCAACGCTGGTACAGCAACCATCTACTGGAAATTCTTCAACCATGAATCAGTCCTCAGTTTCGACCCCTCAAAACCCGTCACCTACACCTCCAGATGCCCCAAGTACTAAGACAGATCCAAATAGCATGCAATCCATAGAGAATACAATAATGATTGCAAATTTGAATACAATAGCTAGGGTGGACCAATCATTAAACGCTTTGATGAAGATAGTTGCTCTGGGAAATGCGTCTCCTCAGCAGATAATTACTTTTCAGGGCTATATACAAAGGGCAAGGGAAATGGGGCCACAGCCACATCATGCATATCTATTCCCAAACGGTATACTTCCGAACCAAAGACCTAGAAAATTGCAAAAAGACAAAAAACCTCCAAAAGAAAAGAAACCTCCAAAACCAAAGGTACCAAAAGACCAAAAGTTAACAGCATTCCAAGAAAAGTATATAACTGATGCAACTCTATTATTTGAATTTGTAGAAAATGCAAATGTGAGATATATGCTCCCCCAAGAAGCAATATGTGAAGTACTACCACCTGCAACTTTCGATGCCGAGGAGCCTGATAATAAAGACATTTTAGTAAGCTTTTTATGGATTCATAATCAAAACGAAGTTGACAATTACAATCAAAAATTGAGTGAATATAATGAGTTCAAGAAAAAAGAAGAAGAAGAATTGAATAAAGATAAATTGAAGAAAGAGGAAGATTTGAAAAGATTGAATCAAAATGAAGAAGGGGAGAATAATGAAACGCAGAAAAATGAAAATCAGCAAGCTGAGAATGAGCAGAAACCGGAACATGCACTGGAAAACGAAGAAAGCCGCTCTAGTGAACAAAAACTAGGTAATGAAGATAAAACAAAAGAAGTAGATTCAGAGAATCAAAAGAATGATGAGGAACTGGTATCTAAACCAAGTAGAAGACCTCCTCCTAGAAAAGGTCGCAGAAGAAGGGGTGGACCTGTGCCTAATAAGAAGGTGGCACCCAAGAAAATTGAATGTCCGGTTGAACCAGAAATTAAGTATACTGCCCTTTCATTTACTATTCATGGAATACCCTCAAGGTATGTTCCAATTATAGTTAATAGTTTTAAAAAACTCGAGGAAGTACAGGAGCGTATGTCTTATATATTGAAAAATGGTACTAGAACTACCAGTTTTTATTTATGGTATCAAGTTGATGGTAAACTAGACGAATCTATTGCAGAAGATGTACGCGTACAACTAAACCAAGAAGAGAAAAAAATGCAAGGTGTTACAAGTACTCAAAGTTCTACTTCTAATTCTACCGCAAAGAAGAGAAAACAAAAAGAAAAGGGAACCGAACCAAAATCAAAGAAGAATAAAACTGACCCTACAGTTTCAATTACAGCTCCAGTCTCAACTGCAGCTCCAATTCTAGATTCAACACAAGTCCCAGTTCCCGTTTCTGCTCCTACTCCAACACAAGCTCAAAATCAGAATGGCTGATACCAAGCCATCCATTGATTAATTCACTAATGACGTTTCTTCAACTACATAGAATTTGTATAATAACAAGCTAAATTATTTGTAAATATATATACATGAGAATCGAAAGATCAGCAAAGCGCTTATTTTTTAGAATTTCCTATTAAATTTAATAAGCTTTCTAATGGAATATTATCTTTACTGTTTCTTTCAGAGGCACTGCCAAAGTTTGGATTGGAAGCCTCATAGTTAGATCTATCAATAAATTCATTATTGTTGTTCGTTCTTTGCATCCAGGAACCAACCTTGATACCATCAGCATACACTTTAACTCTACCGTTTTCAGTAATTTCGGCCTCATTAATTTTAAATGGCATCACGAATTGTCTTGGATGTTTACCTGGATAGTTCTTAGAGTAATTGTTTTGTAATAAAGTTGTACGGTCATTAACACTAGCGATGAATCCACCAATGGCTGCTTCTCTATCTCCTACCATTCTACCAGGTGCGATAGTACCATGTTTGATACCATTTGGAGAGTTGGTTAATCTACCTTTTTGTGCATACGAGAATCCTCCTGTACCTTGAATTTTATTGGTTGGTCCTTTGTTAGCAAATCTACCATCTTTCTTTGATAAATCTATCAAACTAAGTTCTTGCTTTTTAATGTCTGGAGATGTAGCTAAAAATTCTTTCAATAACTTAACAGTCTTGGATGGCATGCTAGACATAACTGATTCTGGACTATTCTTAACTAACCATGCTTGAAATTTCTTATATAAATCTGGATTTTTTTGAAGTAACCTTTTAACATCAGCTCCAGTAGCACTGTTGGTTAAATTGAACTTAGACAATACGCTGTCTAATTGAGAGGTAGATGTATCAGTAGATTTTGTAGTCTTGCTTGGAAATAATGGATTGTTCTCATTAAAATAGTTTTTCACTGCAACTCCCGTTTCTTGGAATTTCAACCGATTATATAATGGACCCGAATAACTTTCAACATCTGGCATATTTTTAGGGTTATCGATATCATTATAGACGATATGAGAAAATCCAATCTGCTTTGGCAACGCCGTTTTAATACCAAAGTTTGATCTAATAGCACTTGATTTTGGTGTGTAGATTATTTGATGACTTGGTACATTATCACGCCCCCTCAAAGATTTATGCAAAGGTGTGGCAACCTGGGATAACTTGGAGTTCTTAAACAAGTTATAAAGCTCCTGGTTCTTCATTTGAACTATGTTTGTTTGAAGCTTCAATTCAATACTCTCTCAATGTTGAAATTTTCAAAAAAAATGTTAAGCTCGGTTTTTGTGTAATTATAATTATTATTGATTTACCCGGATGACATTATCTATACATAATACTATACAATATACAACAGTATATAATGCTGATCAACAAGCGTACGAGAAGCTTATTCCAAATCTGTTAAACTCTGGTGTATTAGTGACTGGATTTAAGACCATTTTAACTCCAGTTGTAACCAAAAAGTCTTTGCATCTACCCTTCCATAAGAGTTTTAACATTTTATCGTTTAGACTAGTAGATAATTTGACTACGCTCGAGAAGTCAGATTCATTAACAAGATTTTCAAATGCTGCCATTGCAGTTTCATTGTTCGAATCTTCTTGACTTTCGAGTGGTTTCCCTACGTCGTCAACTTCGCTTTTGGTTGAAGGTAGTAATGTAGGATTAATATGATAATAGTTATCGAGGGCTTGAATTGGACTTATAATAACATTTTGTTTGTTACTAGAATGATTCTTGTAGTTTAATACATCAGGCGATCGTATATGCACATTTCCCTTAGTATCAGAGTTGTTGCTACCCAAAAATTGTGGATCGTTATTATTGATGCGCGGTGGAGCTGTTGCAGTATTAGGTGTATTGTTGCTGGAATAGTTATATATTTCAAACCCCAAGGAAAGATTACTGGCGTATGAAAACACGTTAAAATCATATTTTGAACAAAATGTAGAGGCCACTGATGTTTTAACGGTGTAGGCGGAGGATATATGCCCCAAAATTGGGTTACAAGCCAATGTCATAGTCAAAGGTTTTCCGGTGGAAGTAGATCTAGTCGAATATCTGAATGCTGTGGACAACCCTGGACTCATACTCAATGCGGCGTACCATATTTCTGTGCCTATGGATATAACTGAATTATCAAACTTTGGAATTAGATTCGAGCTATTTGACTTGTTAGAACTGGATTCCAGACTTCCAAAGTTATATAAGCATCGGAATCCAAATAGCGCTTCATTAGTAGAATATATAAATTCTCTCAGTAACTTTGGTGTATTTTTCTGTAAATAAACAATCATTGTCCCATTCTTATCTAAATGAGGATTATTGATACATTTGATCAACAATTGTGTTTGTGCTGAGATTCTCTTAATAATCATAGCCTCTAAAGCTGAACCTGGAAAGTACATTCTCCCGTATAGTAATGAATCATGTGTATTCTTGTATACGGGATTCTGTAATGCATTTGTAGTTGATGGGTTAAGTTCAAGCATTTTGAATCCAGAAATAGCATCCTGTAATGAAATATCTTTAGTGCCCATTGTATTCCGCAAAGGAATTGAAGAATATAGATATGCCAAAGATCCATTTATTGAATGGTAATTTGATAACGTGAAACTTGAAGCCAGATGTTCAGTGGCTTTCGAAGATAAATCTACTTTACACCCATTTGGAATGGGAAACTCCAATAATGCTTGTGAAGTAGCCGTTATATTAGAAAAAATGTTATCCTCATTCCAATTCGTGGATTTGTAAAAGCATTTCTGGAGGTATTCCATGTATGTATACATCTAAACGTTGTATAATAAGCCTATTTATTCTATAACAATGTTTGTTTCTTATACATAAATAAACACTTTCTGATGGCCTTCTAAATTAAACTATGTGCAGGCCAAACAAATACGCTAGTACTGTTATAAGAAGTATATAAAGCTATACTGAATATATTAAACACTAGTTATGGCATTATATCGTATGTGAGTATGTCATACATGAAAGATAATAAGTGATATTTAAGTTATGCGTATATTTATAATGTAATAAGTAAAAAGGTTCGTTGGCAATGTCATATATTATATATTCTTTAGATCGTTTAGGCTTTCTACCAAGCTGTCTATTTCTGGAAAATCAGGACGGAACAAATCCGATTTCTCCTGTGTTGTCCTCTTCTTTGCTGAGGATGCTATTTCATTTTCGTCTATCAAGTAGAAGATCAAAAATTCGATAACTTTGAAATTAAGCTCCTGTTGCTTAGATGGCTGTGAACCCTTATGAGGTGGAAACGATGATAATTGTAGCTTTCGAATGACAACTGAGCACCCATCGCTTTCCTCAAATACACGAAAATTGGTCAAATCTTTCAATAATATGTGGATCAAAGTAGAAATGAATGAGATTGTGACCTCAACCGGAATATGACGTTCTCCGTCGCCTCCGTTGGTAATTCTTACAAAATTAAGCATAGTTTTCATATTATTCAGTCTATTGAATATTTTCCTAGATTCAGGATGGAGCAAGAGCAAGCCCTGAAGTAGTCTATTGCAAGTCAAAATTATATCCATATCAACACCTGCAATATCTTCCCATACTACTTTGTAGAACTGGATAAGATGACTGGTTATATTATATTGGAAATTGTCTTGAAGATTGACGAAGCTAACTAATTTGTCATTTCTGGGTGCCTGTGGATTCTTCCTCGAAGATGTTATGTACGGCAATAACAGGGATAAAACTTTATCCAAATTTTCTATTCCTTGAATTAAATCATCAATATGTCTTGAATCAAGATGATCTATAATATCTAGTATGATATCTTCCATGATGGTTCTTCACTTAATACATAATCTTTATAAAGCTTTATCGTGAAATGTAAACAATAATCATCCCTGCAGATAGGAAAGTATAAGGCTGATAATTTATTAACCAACGTCAGAAGACTTTAAGTTTCGTGTTCTTTAGTGTTGATCCTACTGGTATAATATATTATTTTTCATAAGTTGGTTACTAGAAGTACTGGCAGTGTGGATAAGGGAAGAATATATAATAGTGTTAATATGGTACAGGATTCGGATGGCTCAATATCCGGTATCATACTCGGATGCTCTGTAGCTATCGTGTCATCGGCCATTCAGTCTCTAGGTATTACATTGCAAAGAAAATCACATTTATTAACTCACAGTATTGGTCATAGTCATCATCATCATCAGAGACATAAGAGGAATATGTGGTTTTTGGGATTTATGTTGTTTATAATTGCTAACATTTTTGGATCTTTGATTCAGTTAACTACGCTCCCTTTGATAATTTTGTCACCGTTGCAGAGCATAGGACTCATATTTAACGCAATTTTAAGTTGTCTTTTATTGCCAGGTGAAAAGTTCACCAAAAAGTTGGCTATAGGAACGTTGGTCATAGCGAATGGAGCATTTATAGTAGCACTCAATGGTAATGTGGATCCATTACCCGAAGATGACGATAAAAACAAGGAATTTAAATTAATATTAGAAAAGCTCACCCGCAAGGCATTTCTTGGGTGGTTTATGACCACTTATGTTGTTATTGCAGTATTAATTCTCTTGAATTTAGTAATATCACGCAGAAAACAGAATTTGAAAAGACTAAGAAAGAGAAGGAGTAGATTACAAACTACATTACTTTCCAGATATCAGTTTACAATGGGAATTAATTACGGTTTAATAGCAGGTACTTTAACCGCTCATACATTTTTATTTGCCAAATCATTGATTGATGTGGTCATAGAAATAATCCTACGTGATAAACACAATTTCAAAAATATATTTCAATCAAGCAATTTCACCCCGTACTTGTTACTAATTATAATGCTAGCAATTATTGCATGTCAACTAACAGCATTTAATTTAGGCTTGTCACAAATTTCAACTTCAATATTATATCCATTATGCTTCTTGGTCTTTAACTTCGTTAATCTTATTAATGACTTAGTTTTCAATTCATTACTTTCTGACCACAGAATGACATATGGGCAATTGTCAATGGTTATATTTGGGTTGATGGGGGTATTAATAGGTGTCGTAATCATAAGTTGTGACTCGACGTATGGGGATAGCGGTAAAGATGATATTAATAACTTGAAATTTCCTTATAACGAGAATTCTACTTTATTGAGTCCTTCTACTTACAGTTTACATACTATAGAGAGTTCAACCATGTCGTACGAACAAACTCAATTAATAAACCTGCTTGGAATATAGTTAATTATACACATATATATATAGATTGACGATGAATTATGATAAATATTAATTATCTAGTATGTAATTAGTTATTTTTTCCAAAAACAGGTAATGTAATAGGATTAGCAGTGAAATAGGAATTGTGCTTATTAGCAGTACCTGCAAATGCACACCACCAACCACTAACTGCAGCAATAATAGCAAATACACCTCCTGCTTTAGTTACTGCAGTATTACCAGTAAAATTTGCAATAGCCAAAAGGAGGAAAGTAAAATCTAACCCAACAAATAAGGATAAGAACATAACTGTCGATTTTACAGCCATTAAAGTCATTAGCATCGTAAAAATAAACCAACCAATAAGGAATAAACCTACACCATTAGCAAACTGTTCTGGTTCATCCTTGTATGCCGCAGCAATACCAAAAGCTTCAATATAAAGAGTTGCAAATGCAAACCAAAACGATCCATAACTGGTCAAAACTGTTCCTGCAAATGTATTCCCAATGACAAGCTCCCAAATACCTGTCAAAAAATCCATAGTTCCAGCATAAAATAAAGCTAAACCAACCACCACGTTTGGAATTTCGATTCCCATAGCACCTGTGTAATATAACCCAAGAACGAACGTTGTAAGACCGAACGCTGCTAGACCTAACGCTGCCGCATTCCCAAACTCATGAACAGGATATGCCGCATATCTGTCTGGGTTCAATGTACCACCGAATGCTGTCATTAGCTCATGTCTGTAGAACTTTTTGTCGCCTATAATTATAAACTCGTCCCCATCACCACATACAGAGACTTTATTAGGTTGGTAACTTTCGTGAGAGGTTCTCCCTTTTAATTCTATTGATTCTGTTGAAGTCATATTCTTCACTTATATTATTTTGCTTTGATATAAATCTCAAATTAAAAAGATAAGAATCTATACATATATATAATCTCCATAAACAATTTGTCACTGTGTTATTATAGTAATTTTGGGGTTTAGGCAATATTTTGCAGTTATACGGTGGTCTCGCAGGATTTTAGAACATCGGGCATGTGGATAAATTCAACCTGCTAAAATAATCAACTACTCCAATTCTATATTGTCTCATAAATTCACGTATGTCCGATATTTAACATCTAATAATTCTCGGGGATTAGGGTAGAGAAGAAATAATATTGCGAATGGAGAGAGAATGAATTCGGATAAACCTTGGAATAAATCTAACAAGTTGGTACCATTTAAAATGGCTACTGAGAATCCGTTTTTTGGCGCACTTTCAATTCTGATAGAGAGTTCATTGAATCATGATATGATCAAGCTGATAACAAAATAATTTGTTGAAGGTTTGACACTAGGAGTTAGGTGCGAACCATGCTTGTGAGTAGCAGTATAGCCCATCAATGAAGGATGGTGGGGAGAATTTTTATATAATCGGAAGAAGTAATAAAAACTACGTATAGTCCACAAACTAAAAGAAATAAAAAAAGTGCGGTCAGCCGTAATCGTAGTTATCTAATCGGAGTTACGAACATTCAGCATAACCAAGAGCTTCAGAAGATACGGTCACACTTAATTCCATTACTTATAATAAGGTTAAGCCTGTAATAAAATAGAAATTAGTTCAACTAAGTAATCGACAAATTGTACCAATTTACTTATCTCTGTAAGATTTGGATAGTGTATAATTTGCGTTCGCATGTAATGAAATTCAATGTTTGATACTGAGTTGTGTTATAACGTTGGTGAAAGGAAGAATTAAGTTTGGCTAAATTTTATGACTTGTGTACTGTTGTGAATGTAATGTTAACCAATCAAATTGCTGTTGTAGTAAGGCTAATGATGTTTATTCAACTACATTATAGGCGCTTTGAAACTGCTGCTTAATACACAGAATACGAGAAGGTTTTGATAAACGAAAATCTCCCGTAATAACCAATTGGTAATTGTATTACTTTCCCTCTAGAAAGACATGCATACTATCCAAATTTTTGTAAAATCTTATCTAATTGTTAAATAAAGAAGCTAGCTAAAAGCCGTATGAGCTAAACTAAGATCGTCTTCAATAGAGTAAATTATATTTCCCAACAACTGCCGTATTAAGAATAACTATTGTGTCATTGTTAATAGGTTAATATTCATCGCCAGCGATATTTATATACCTATTCTGTTTTTCCAAATATTGGAATTGGGATAGGATTTGCAGTGAAATACGAATTTTGTTTAGTTGCAACACCAGCAAAAGTATTGAACCATCCTAAAATTGAAGCAACAATTGCAACGATTCCGCCAGCCTTTGAAGCACTAGCACTTCCAGTAAAGTTTGCTGCTGCTAGAACTGAAAAAAGAACGTTCAATGAGACAAATAAGCTGAAGAATAGCACTGTCGATTTTACGGTTAACAAAGTCATCAAAAAGGTGAAAATGAGCCAGCCAATTAGATAAAATCCAATTGCATTTTGAAGCTGCTCAGGTTCGTCAGCATATGCTGCAGAAATCCCGAATGCTTCAATGTATATACTTCCAAATGAAAACCAAAAACATCCATAACTGGTCAATACTGTTCCAGCAAATGCGTTACCAATCACAAGCTCCCAAGTTCCAGAAAGAAACATTATTGTACCCCCATAGAACATGGCTAGTCCAATTACAACATTAGGTACAACTATACCCAAGACACCTGTGTAATATAGCCCAAGAACAAAAGTTGTAAGAGAATATCCGGCTAACCCCAAGGCTGCAGCATTTCCAAACTGATGAACTGGATATTGTGCGTATCGGTCTGGGTTTAATGTTCCTCCAAAAGCTGTCATTAATTCATGCCTATAAAACTTTTTGTTCCCAAGACGAATAAACTCCTCTCCATCGCCGCAAATGGCAATCTTACTCTGAGGATAGCTTTCGTGAGAAACTCTTGCCTTCAAATCTATGGAATCAGTTGACATATTACTATAGTGATAGTCTCATCTAGAAAATATTAATTGCAATTTGGGAAATCACCATCTCCCTTTATATACCTTTGAAACAACAACTATAGATATATATCCCCAGGATTGTTTAGGATTCAATTGAGGAGATCAGCATAATGTTTCCAAGAGCAATGGCTTGAAGAGAAACATTTCTTGGACCTATCTTTGACTATTGCTTCATACTGGGGCTTCGATCCGATTTTTGCAGTTAATCACAACCTTTTCAATGCATTTCGGAGATAACCCCAAATAGATTTAGGATAAGCCGGTTACTCAGAGTCCTTTTTGCACATAGAAGACTATAATATAATAGGTACAAGCTGTGTATATTAATTTTGACGAAAATATATAAAAGAAAAACTGGGGTAATACAAGGGTGTATGTATTAAATCTGATGTAAGGATGTATAGATAATAGGCGCCCCCGCAAGCTAGCATATTCTCAATAATAGAATCTACCGATGCATGATTCCGGAGTTTAGAAGGTATAAGGTACTTTAGAGAAATTTCTGCTTGAACGAAAGAGAGTACAGAAATCAAGTTCATAGTTCAATTTTGTACATATACATTGAGGAGAGCATTATTGTTTAATCTTCAAAAGTAGTGACTACAGTGGTTTAGATCTGTCTACTTTGGACTACAATTGTACACCAAACTCGTAGCATAGAAAGTGTGCAATGCATTGCTGCAATAGTGAAATAAGCTCTTGAATCGATATCTAAACCTACTTTAAACATGCTATAATTTCTAAAGTTTGTTCATTATTCATAAGCAAATGTAATATTTTTATATTATTTAATTATGAAATATAATATATATGAAACTAAACCCAAATACTAATTTTCTTGCTCGTTTTAAATTCTAACGAACAGCAACATAGTAGATAATGTCCGCCTTAACGCATGGCGGAGCTGTTAATTTCGAGGTGTATAGGTTCTATAGTTGTGCAGCAACTATTCTTTCTAATCTACAACCGGCGTTACTAAAGAACGCCAAGTAGTCGACATGCTTTGTTGACATATACAAACGGCGATAGCTTATGTGACGATATACATTTTTTTGACAAGTGGTAGATAAAATTACCCCGTATAAGGGTTTGTTGAGCTTTAATGACAACAGATCGTTAACCGGGACTTAGCCACTTTGAAACTCCGATGCCATCCATATATGGGAGACTCTGAGAGCCAAAAAGCATCCATCCGTGATATACATGCCTTTTCCTCGGAAATCCTACATCTGTCATAATTCACTTATAATTATTCATTCAACCTCTAAACATGTTAAGATAAATACTATCCCAATCTCCAATACTGTTTATTAGCAACCTTCAATCAAATAGTTCCTCAAAATAACCGCCTAAGCAACTCTAGATGTTCATACACAATTTATCTCCAACAACATTTTTTGAATTACAAACACTTAAACCATTTACAGAGTAATGTGATTTTTCATTATTTCCCTATACTTCTTCATATCACTAATTATCTCGGTACTAAACTTTATTGACATAGTCTCATTATTTTGTCTTATACCTTCCATTAATTCATATAATATAATTATGGTATTCTACTGAATTATTTCTTTCAATCAATACTAACGAAATAAATCATATATCATTCTCCTTTTGGTGAAGCTAGTAAAATGGACAACTTAAATTCTGTGACACTTCAATCACTTGTTAAGACACAATTAAAGGTACTTTGAAACCTCCTTCTCCGCGTAGTTCCAATACTTCTCTCCGTTCTCTCCATTTGCACCTTCATCAATATCTTTTCTTATTATTCCAAATCTACCAAAAGAAATAATCATTCTGTGTTCATTATTTTCAGTTACTTCAGGTGACACAGCCGCAAACATCTCAGTATAAGCACCAAAAACCGCATCATACAAGATACAGTTCAAAAGAGATCTAACAATTCCTGGCAAATGTCTTTGTAAATCAGTTTTCAATCCACCAGGACATAGACTTACGGAAGTTATATTACCGTTGGAATTTCTTTTTGACCACTGGATTGCATTCGTTATAACACCAGCCTTTGATTGGCCATATATTTCACCATTTGCATACTTTTTTGATGGATCTGCAAAATTCAAGTCGTCCCAGTATATTCCCCCATTTGCAGGAGCACTGAAATGAGCAGTAGATGATACCCATACAACGCGACTTAAGTTCGGTGGATTCTTTTTAGAAGTTTGAATGAAAAGTGCATCCAAAAACTTTTGCAATAAGAATGGCCCAAGAACATTAGTACCCCATTGTAAATCGTACCCTTGAGCTGTCTTGGATCCCATAGGAGGAGTCATAACACCTGCGTTATGGATGATAATATCCAATCTATTTTCTTTTTTCAAGAATTCGTTCGCTGTTTGCTTAATCGTAGACAAATCACCTAAATCAAGTTTAATAAAGTGCAACTCAACATCTTTATTATATTCGTTCTGGATTTCGTTCTGGATCTTCTCTATTGCGACTCTAGATTTCTCTTCACTTCTAGAAAGAATATAAACCTTGGCATTACAAACACCAGCCATCAATTTAGCAGTGTGGTAACCAACCCCGGTATTACCACCGGTAACAATCACTACTTTACCAGACAAATCTGGGTAATCAGCGGGAAGAAAAGTTGGTTTGGGAGGATAGAAAATGGAAAGAAATTGTTTTGCCTCTTGCCAGGAAAGACGTGGTGCTAGCATTTTTAATTTATTTTTATGATACCTTGCATCCTCACTTAAAAAAAATCAGACAGCATCTTTCTTATTTATATCGTTTCTGTTCAATGACTTTATTTATGTTCCAAATATGTAATAACAAAAGTAGTAAGGTTCAGCTTAATTCCGTTAACTGCGGATAGATTCACCCTGTGGCGTTTGTAATATTTAGAATCATTTCCGCTAATAGCGGTTTAGGTGCGGTCTCGCGTGCAGTCCTACCTTCTATGCTTTCGGATGAACACGGTTCGGTTGGTTGCAAACTTGCGTATTAAAAATGTATTGGAATGTTAGAATAACCACTACTACGATTCAAGATATATATAGCAACATCCGACAAATGCCTCTGTATATCAGTTTTCAATCCCCAAGGACATAAAGATATTGAAACTTTACGACCCGAGAACATTGGTACCCCATTGCAAATCGTACCCTTGATCTGTCTTGGATCCCATGGGAGGAATTATAACACCTGCATTATCGATGATAATATGCAATCTATTTTCTTTTTTCAAGAATTCGTTCGCTGTTTGCTTAATCGTAGATAAATCACCTAAATCAAGTTTAATAAAGTGTAACTCAACATATTTATTATGTTCGTTCTGGATTTCGTTCTAGATCTTCTCTATCGCAACTTTAGATTTCTCTTCACTTCTAGAAAGAATATAGACCTTGACAAAATCTGGGCAATCAACAGGACCAAAAGTTGGATTGGGAGGATAGAAAATTGCGAGGTATTATTTTGTTTCCTTCCAGGAGAGACTTGGTGCTAGCATTTTTAATTTATGTTTTATAACATATTTGAAGTATTTTAAAAAGCATCTTCTTTTTTATGTTGCTCTAGGTTATTGGGGTTGTTTATGGTCAAACCACCAATAGTGAAATAGTAGAACTTTAAGCAAGTAAATAATATCGCAGTTCTTTAATTCCGTTAATTGCGGTTGAGTTAAAGCTGTTATTTGCAGGTTTACACTCTGTGATAAACTCGTTAACTGCGGAGAAAATAAATCGCTTAGATAAATGTGGTTTAGTAAATCCCGTTAAATGCGGTTCATATAAAGTCCCTTAATTGCCGTTAATCATACAGTGGTCTTACCTTCCTTTCTTCACGGTTAAAATAGGTGCAAAATTGTGTATTGAAATCTGCTTGTGCACATTCTGTTTTCTCGTTGTTTGTGTCGATTTGACTAATAAGAGATATTTCGAAGTAACTAAATTCAACATAAATTGTAAATGTAGCCTAGGTAGTTGGTACTATAAGATTCATACGCTCTAAAACTATCTTTATTAAAGATCAAAGGTCATTCAAAAATGGATCGGTGTTATAATTGAGAAATGACAAGAACTCATCAAACGTTGCCTCATAATGGATCTCCTCCTCCTTATTCCAAAAGTCATTGAGGGCCGCAGAGTCTAAATCTGCTGTTGGGTTTGGCTCATTTCCTGAAATGGTGTTTTTGAGCACTTCAGAATGAGGCTGCAAAATTTCTGCGTTGTTATTATGCAAATAATTCATGAAGTATTTTAATGTAATACATATATGGTAACAATCAAAAAACCGTACAGAAAGCTTATAACTGAATAAATGATACTCCTCTAACTTCAGAATTAGACCTCGCAAAGTTTCTTTTTCATTTCCTTGGTATACTTGAAGCCACGTCAAGGTGCTGGAAGAATCGCTTAACTGAAAGCTCTTAACTGCTTCTGTTATCAAAGCGTCTCCTTTTAAGCATCTAATTATAACTCCACACATGAGTAGCAAAACTACCTTGACAGGATTCCATATTGAAGGGGCAACTATTGTTTCCAACTCCAGACATGTTACAGCGGTAGGGTCTTTTGCAAATTCATAGCCTACTCTGATGATATTCAACCCCGTTTCAATTGCAACATGTAAATATTTTTTTCCGCTATCATTTAAACTAATAAAACAGTAATATGCTAAGGAAAATAGCTTTCGCATCATCATCATACGGAGCATAAGTTCGAGAACACTATCCGAGGAGTCAGATGAATATAATTGATCGAATGTTTTCATCTTATTATTGAGCATGTCCTCGAATTCTGAGATCAATTTATCAACTTCAAATATCTTAGCCCCCAGTTTAGCTTGCGTCAAAACCACTGCACGACGAATTAGTCTTGAAGCTACGTAATTAAGTTTGAAAAATCTCTCTAATTTGAGTTCTTCGTTTGGTAACCAGAGTTGCTCGGTTTTTAAATTAGTGAAAGGTGGATGAGTGTCAATCTCGTCCTCGCGTATTAGCATGGGTACACCTAAGTTAAACGCTTGTAAAGAATCAAAATACATAATAAAGGCCCAAACTTTCCTCCACAAGTGAATATCATTATTATCTAACGAAACCAAGCTAAGGTCAGTTGGATCTTTATGAAGCCCATGAAACCTAGCCATCTGCACCGCAATAGAAATTAAAATATTCAGGTTTATTGCTAGATTGTCATTCTCAGGACTTTGCATTTGGTAAACTCGTAAGAGCAAAATTGCTTGGATTTTTCTAAAATCAATTTTATCGAGACTAGAATGATTAATCATGAGTCGTTTCGAGCATTCAATGTAGGAAGATGAAATGTCCACGTTACACTTTAGGATATCTTGTACCACATCATGATCGGCTAGAGGTAACGAATTACTATGGTACCCCTTCATTGGCAAGGTGAGATAAGCAAACCTTAGCATAGTTAAAAGAATGGAAATTGTGCTTCTCTTGTGAGTTATGTCTTCTTGTGAGATGTGTTCCTTGTTCTTGAAAATAAGGCATATCTCATTCATAAATATCTTCTCGTCAAAAAATGGTGCAAATTTGTAACACACTCTGAAAAACCTTTGCACTAAGGCATGAACAATTCTTAGTGGCGGGAGCTCTGGGAAATCTCCAACCACAGGATCTGCTTGGCTAGAACAATATATACTTTCTTCATTTAAAATTCGATCATCTTGGACTTCAAGAGAGGTATGTTTTAATCTGAACTTCTTTAGTTGATCCGCCATGTAATCTGTAAATAATTGAGTTGCGTATTTATCATTCATCATGAGATAGGAAGTCGCCGTAGGTCCAAAATAATACATTTTCGAGTGCTTAACATTCATATTAATCGCTTTTTCATTTGCACATAATATCGAGTCATCTTTCTCTTGCTTTTCACCCCAATGTTCTTGGTTTTCCAGAAATAGAGGCGAGCTATTGGTAGAAAGAGTCAGCAGCTGCGAGCTCACCCCAATCAGTTGTTTCTCTATCTTTGCTTCAAGCGTTGTTATTACTGACCGTAATTTGAATATTTCTTTTTGTAGGCTGGCTGTAGATGAATTGTCAGCGGGGCCTTCCATTAACCAGGCTGTTTGATCGTATTTACATAAATGCTCTGTATTATTCTCAGAACAGCTTCCACAGAAAGGAGTTTTCCTATCACATTTAATCTTTTTAATTCGACATATTGAACAAGATTTGGGGATTCTTACTCTATTCTTTTTCATCCTACCTCTTTAGACATTATTTAAAAATGCCTTGATATGTTGTTGCTTAAACCTTTGGACTAACAGAATTAAACTCACCCTCTTCGAGCTCGAACACGTGATGATATTGGTAGAAGCCTTAACGTTATCTACATCTAGTAGGATACATCTATATCAGAAAATCAAAAAACAATGGATGATGAGTTCAGTTGGTATATATAGACATTCAACAATAACGAAGAATGTAAGATTGTTTGGATGAGTCAACTCCAGCTTTTCAATTAATGAAAGCTTTAGAGTTTTCGATATTAAATTCTACAATATGGACATCAAGTTCTTCGCACTTTTAAATATTTGCATCATATCACCAAAAATCGACAGTCTTCTTGAACTCTCTAGTCCTTAACGAGCCAATGCATTGTCTAGTGGTTGAAACCAACTTTCTTCCCTGGTGGATTAAATGTCTCTGATATCAAATATTGTCATATATAGGTCACCAACCCACCACCCATTCTGATACCACCTATTGCATCTAAAGACATAGAATAGTGTTGCACAAGTATTACACAAAACTGAACTTATATCGCTAAATTTATTTAGCTCATCTCTGAATTCTTAACGGTTACAGCGATGTCATCCAAAAGATTGAAGAGAAATCCAACTATAGTATGTTATAGAGATGTACAAGAGCTAATAATCATAAAAGACTGGTTCTATAATTTTGATGATTCCAAAGATAATAGATATAGAGCAATACAGAAGGTGAAGGCATTATCGTCAAGAGGGAAACTTCCGCATGCAATAGAGTCGACATCATTGTTGACTTCTATAATATTAACTGATCCAAGTGAGGGAGGTTCTAATAATGACTCAAACGTTTTACAATTATCTTATACAATGGCATTAATCAGATTTGTGAATGGATTACTAGATCCATTTCAACAATCAAATTTTGCGATACCACTACATCAGCTAGCCAAAAATCTAAATCTTCCTAGTTTTTTTGTTGAATTAAGACATATGGGAACACATGAATTATTGCCCAATCTAAACATTTTGAGAATAGCTAGTAGACAAGCGTTAAATTGGTTGTATGATAATTACTGGAATAATGTAGAAGAAACAGACGACTTGGAAGATAATGAAGATAATGAAACCGACAAGGCAGAAATAAATAGAGTCACTCCCATTATGGAGGCTTGCATTACAAATTTGAAAGTTTTCAAGAAAATTCGAAAACAGGATTTGAATCTAATAATAAAATTTGGAAATTCATCGGAATCAGGCATAAAATATTGGAAAGCAATCGGTAATTTAAAGCAACGCTTACATGAAGAGCCGGAAGTGCTTATAAAAATTCTAGTATTCAAGAATTTTCTTATATATAACTACGACAAGCTTCAAGCCAGGGAATCTAAAAAGTTTAAGTTTAATTCTTTGCTCATCAAGCTATATAAACCACTTATAGAAGAGCTCGGGGTTGATTTCAAGTTGCAGCTATTGTTCAATATATTCAACTTTTTGGACGCAAATATAAGTGATGACATTCAATCATTGGACCTAAAACTAGGTTTTGAATTCAAGCATGACGATGAAGTAAAACAAATTAAAGAATGGGCTTCATTTCTTATTCGGGACCTCTCACTGATTCGCAATGTGACTTCAGAAAACTATAAATTTACTACTTACGAAGAACTCGTTAAGCTAATCATTGATAAAATTCAAAAAGTCAACATAAACTACCAGCTTGAATTTTTGGAAATACTACAATCGTCACTTGAAAAATTACAAGTAAATTCGCAAAGTAAAAAGGATTTGTACTCTAAAGTGACTGCCTTGTGCAAGCAAACGAAGATTGCATCCCTAGCTGCACCTCCTTCATTGGATGATATATTAAATGGCCCCGTACTGGCGGAATCATCTGAAAGACCGTCAAAAAAGCAAAAGACAACCCCAAATTCTAAACCTATATTTTTATTTGAAGAGCATAAAAACTGGAACCCGCTACCCTTTGGTACTTCTTAATCACCCCCCAAGCTTCTTCTGAAGGTATAATTCTAATTCAAAACCTAGAACTAAATACTTGTAAATAGCCAGCTAGTTTATGATAATGGATTATATACAGGATCTCTAATGTGGCGGCTAGTCTATCGTTATCTAATCACTTAACCTCACGTATACCTACTGATTGATTACACCATAATAGTAATCCTGAACTACATTAAGGTGATCATAAAGAGATATTGAATTACTTTGCAAAATGAGTCCTCAATGGATGCCGCAAAATATTCAAAAAAGACTCTTGCTTTATGTATTACAGCAGCTTTCATTGTTTTCAGAGATAGATTTACCTAACTTGGAAGAGGTATCATTAAATAACATAGTGTTAAAAAATGTATCCATAGATCCTGAAAAAGTAGGCAAGTTGCCTGGTTGTAACTTGAGATATGGACAAGTGGGTAGTTTGGAATTGAATGGAGGAGTGATGGGTGGAGTTAGCATTGATGCTAATAATGTGGAAATTGTGATTGCCCCAGATTTTGATATGAAAGAAGAAGTTAGTAATAATGTTCAGTTTCTGTTAGCACAAAGTACAGCTGATCTTGCAAATACTCTTATGATTGATAAGCAATCCAACGAAACTACATCATCGGAAGACGAGACTGACACTGTGATACCCCCAACATCATCTAAGTCCAGGTCAAATTCAAGCTCTTCTGGATCATCTACAAGAACAAGGCCATCAGCTTTAAGTGGTGTAATGACAAAAGCAGTAGAAATGGCTTTGCTGAGGTTGCAAGTCAAGGTAACTAATTTGAATGTCAAGATAGTTTCGGAATCAACTGATTTAGTCTTAGAAATTGACGAGGCTTTGTTAAATACTACTAATGGCACGAGGCACATAAAGATCAAAGGTGTTAAAGTAATAACTTTAAGACCTGGCGTGAACCCAGGTGAATCCGCAAGTGAAAATATGGGGAAAGATTCGCCAAAGGAGTCAGAAAACAGCAATACTTCTGAGGATGACGAAGATAACGATAATGACTACGGTGACGAATCCTTAATGAACAGCATGGTATTTACTCATGATGAAGCTAGCTCAATTTACATGAGCGCAACATCCCAATCTTTCAACAAACCCAGCAACAACGATGGTACGACACACAAAGAGACACTAGAGAAAAAAGAATCGCCAATCTTAATACATATTGATGATATAGATATTGAATTTGAAGGACTAAGCAATATTTCCAACTTGGAAATTGACGTGGGTGAAGTTAAAATTGCAGCAATTCCCATATCTCCTACTATAATTTCAATCTTCAATAATATATCGCATAATCTTAAATTAAAATATTATCAGCAACGCAAAATGAATATGCATAAACAAAGATTCAAGTCAAATTTAAGTTTCCCACAATATGCTGATGACAATGATGAAGTAGAAGATGAAAATGAACAAATAATATTAGATGATAATGGGGGCTCATTAGATCCATTTTTTGATAGACTCCGGATAAATAACATTATTATAAGTGCAACATCAGCTCTATTACCAACTGGAGAGTTTGCGTCTGCATCTAGTTCACTCAATTTTGTTTTTCATAACCTCAATATAAAATACAAAAATGAAGCTCTCATATATGGAGGTATTGAAGTCTTCAAAATAGTGAAATTCGCAAATAATCAAGAAATTGAAATACTTAAATTTAAAAATACTGCATCCACATCGAATACAGAATCAAAAGCGTCAGAAGAATTGACTGGGTCAATACCTGCATCTTCCAGTTCGTCTAAGGCAGATATTCGTTTTGAAATTTTCACTAAATTTGAAAATGAAATAAAGCATCTTGAATTTACAAGTTTGTTCTCGAAGCAAGCCAATATAAACTTGGACAAACCTACTTTGCTACTACTATCAAATTTAGGCATATCTGTATCATCGGTTTATGACAGTTATAATACAATGAAATCCACAATGAATTCAGTTAACGTATTTAAAAATAACTTAATTCCTAATAGAGAATTGAAAGGCTCCTCATCAATTGGATTATCAAAAGAATCAAATGTTCAATTTATATTACAAACAGCGTCGACTACAATAAATTTAAAACTTTCGGATAACCTAACTTTGAAGACTATTATATTTCCTATTTCATTTAATTTGTTAAAACAGGGTATGAGTATCAACAAGATTCTAATAAGTACTGTTTCTGGGGAAGTCGAAACCTTATTGTCGACATTGTCTAATATTCAATTATCAGCAAAACCACAAGAGTTCAAATCCTTTAGTAGTAAATCAGGGTACTCTAATAGTAGCAGTGATTCATTTCCTCGTGAAATTATGCTTACTTCAAATTTAACTTTGAGCTTATCTAAAATCTCAACTAAATCTAGTCTTAAGGATTTGAAACTATTGATCAAGGAATTTTCTATTTTTTCAGCTAGCTGGCTGACATTGTCACTGCAGGTTAATTCCTTAGAAAATTCCGTTAAGGATAAGGGGTTTGTAATAAGTAGTAGAACAACTAAAACAGAAAGTTCGTCGATATTACTGAGCTCGGTTTATGCAAATCAAAGACGTTCGAGGAGGTCTAATTTTAATAACCCTAGTTTGGTAAATACTAACCGGTCTAATTTAGTGACATTTAGACTATATGTTGATCATATTGAATTCTACATAACTAATGTTTTACCAAAACTTGGGGGTTTTGATTTCCAAATAGATAAGATATCTTTCTACAAGTTCAACAATGATATACAAGGTTCAATCCATGCTATGAAGGTTGATAGGAATTTGGGAAATGGTGAAGCTATCAATGACTTTATTTACGAATTCCAGAGCAAAAAGGTCAATAAAATTAATATTCCCTTAATTCTAGTTAATATCAAAACTAATGAAAAAATTGATACCATAGATATATCCTTGCGAAATTTTTTAATTGAATATTATACTCGCTGGCTCGAGTTGTTGGAGAAGGAAATTGATGAAACTGCCGTTCTACATGATATTACAGACCACAAGCGAGAATCAAGTTCCCTGAATTCACCTTCTAAAAGACTTGATATCAGGTTTTCATTATATGATTGTGTAATTGGGTTGAACCCTGGGAGATTGGATTGCAAGAGTTTATTAATTATAAATAAAGGTAATTCTGATGTAACTTTTGGATCACATCAATTCTACATCAAAAGTTCATTAAGGAATTTGTCACTTTTATTGGTTGATGATATAAAGAATATTAACTTGTCCAAAACAGATAGAGAAGCTACAGCAAAGCCCACCAACGCGGTTTATATTTCTCCGCTATCATGGTTTGTATCAAATGGATATATTTCAGTAGGTAATATTAATTGCATTCATCTTGGGATCACTGTTAATACAGGAATTCAAGAAATAATTAAAAGAAATGAAAATTTGGGTCTCCAAGATAGCTTAGCATTATTAGATATTAAGATCAACTCCGATGAACATCAACTTGATCTATGTGCGGACTCGGCTCATGTTTTGATACAAATGATAAATGATCTAAAGCCGCCGTTAAATTTTACAGATAATGAAAAAGTAAAGGTAACAGTTAATGATCCAATTAACCTTTTGGATGAAATAAAAGATGATGAATTTAAAAATGGTTCAATTATGAAATCAATAAATCGTTCAGATACTTTTGAAGATCTCGCAACATTGAAAAAGACTTCGAATGAGAATTCAAGTGCTAGTGATATAAATATTGTCGAGGAATACTATGATGACTCGCATAATTCATCACAGAGTCTTGAAAATGGTCTAAATAAGTTAAGCATTAGTGAATCTGCTAACTCAAAAGAAGAAGCGTCTTCTTTCTCGTTTGACGAAGAGCATTTTAGTAATAACGGTACTGATAAGAATTATCCTGAAATTTTTCCGATAAAATTGAATATTAACCTTTCTAAAACCAAAATTTATTTATACGATGGGTTTGATTGGAAAGGTACTAGAAAAACAATAAAAGGAGCGGTGAAAAGAGTTGAGGCTCAAGCTTTACAAGAATTAGAGAGGATAAGAGAACTGGAGTCTAGGAGGCATTTGAAAAAAAACATGCAAGTTACATTTAATGAACCAGATGAAAATGCAGAAGCAGATGATGAAGAAGGAAATGATGGAAATAGCTCTGATAATCAGCTGTTAATCAGCGAGACTTTGTTCCAATCGATTCATCTTAGTGTACCGAAAGGTTCAAATCCCTCCAATTTAACTAAAAACATCAACAAATCTGTACAGAATTATTCAAATACTGATAATGCGAATGATGTGAATATAAACTACAACATTGAAACTGGTCGTAACTATAAGAATTTGAAGTTACGCCGATCAAAGAATCATAAAATTGCTATCGATTTAAAGAATATTGAAATTAATATGTCGATACTAACTACACGAGACCCGAGAAGAGATAAAGAAGTTCCTGATACTAAATATGAAATCACTAATTCAATAGATTTAAGGATTGAAGACATTGATATATACGACAATATTCCTAGTTCAACGTGGAATAAATTTCTAAGTTACATGAATTCTTTAGGCGAGCGGGAAATTGGGACTAGTATGCTTAAAGCATCAATAACCAATGTAAGGCCTAATCCCGAATTATGTTCAACTGAGGCTATGATAGACATTTCTATTTTGCCCATTAGACTTCATGTCGATCAGGATGCAATAGATTTTTTTATTAGGTTTTTTGATTTTAAGGATAAACGATTTGAATTGCCTATAGATGAAATTATCTATATTCAGATGTTCAAAATGAGTAGTTTAAGGTTAAAATTGGACTATAAGCCGAAAAAAATAGATTATTCTGGTATTAGATCTGGAAAAATGTCGGAGTTCGTGAACTTTTTCATATTAGATGGATCAGAAGTAAAATTGCCAAAGTTGAAGCTTCATGGGATATTAGGTATGCCTATGTTAGGAGCTGAAATGACAAGAGCTTGGGCACCAAACATTCAACAGACCCAATTATCTGGACTTCTCGCTGGATTGTCTCCGTTTAGATCTATAGTTAATATTGGTGGCGGCTTCAAAGATCTTGTTGCTGTACCTATCAAAGAATATCGTAAGGATGGTAGATTAATGAGAAGCTTACAGAAAGGAACGTCGAAATTTGCTAGAACTACTGGATATGAATTGCTAAATTTAGGTGCTAAATTGGCTTCTGGTACACAGGTTATTTTGGAACAATCGGAGGAAGCATTTGGTGGAGAGGGATCTTCAGCAAGGTCTCCGAAAATTAAACACGATAAGAATGATAAAAAAGATAATGAGGACGATGAGGACATTTATTCCTCTGGTGATATCAATAAAGCAAACACCAATCTACTAGCCTCCTCCCAATTACTCAATAAAAATATTGCCGTAGAGCACGATCCATACGGTAATAAGAAATTATACTCATATATTGAATTAGACGAGTCGGATGATATTGATGACAAAATCTTGGAGAATTCGCTCTTGTTAATGAATCCTAAGGACCTCGAAAAATCTAGACATCTCCAGGACGTAAATGAGGAAGATGAATACCAAGAGCTTGATGAAAAAGAAGATTTGGATGAGAAAGATGCCGTGAAATTGGTCAGTTTATATTCCAATCAACCCGAAAACACTCAACAAGGACTTAAATTGGCTTACAAGTCACTCGGTGAAAACTTCAAAATTACTAAAAAAGCTGTCAATAGTTTACGCAAGGAACTTAATGCATCATCCAATGTACAGGAATCTATTAAGTCTATGGTAAAGTCTTCACCAATTTTGATCATTAGACCCATGATTGGCACTACTGAAGCTTTACTGAAAGCCTTGATGGGTATCAGCAACGAAATCGATTCAAATCATATTGTTGAATCGAAGGATAAATACAGATATGATAATGCCTCAGAAAGATAAGTATATATCGAACGGCACGCGATCTTTGGAGCCGTGCAGCGTATTGGCCGCCTTATATACATTATATAGAAGGAAAGTATACCTTTTATCTAGTGACACAAAATTGATGATGAGATGAATTTTTATCTTTTATTTCAGAACTCTAAACGGTTGCCTTGTCTCCTCATTTCTTTGTCTATTTCTATGGCATTATACCCCATTCTGGAGATTAAAGATTTTCAATAAAATACACATTTAAATTTCATAGCTATTTCCTAACAAAAAAATAGTTAGGTTGACAAAAATTTTTCAAGGCCTGCCATCAGCTCTTTATTGTATACGTGGGAACATATAACAAACACATGACAGGAACACAAGAACAGCCTGAGATTGTTGAGGCTATTAGTTCTAACGACTCTGAAGTAGTTAGGGAAGTGAAACAGGAAGGAAAAGTAGAGGCAGGTGATTTTGAAAAGTTTCCTGGAGAAAACATAGAAAAAACTAAAAGCGATGTTAATTCAGATAATGAATTATCCTTGTACAAAAAATTCAAGATACGGGTTCCTCGTCATACCCTTTATTTCCATATATTGTTGGGATGTCTTTTCACTGCATGGTGGCTTTCGATTTTAATTCAAGACAAGCATAGACACCAATGGTTAGTTCCTACTGTCTTATGGGGTTTACTCATGGTTAGACTTATTTCGTGGCATTGCAGAATTTTGTATGTGTTGTTCCACTATTGCCAAAAGGTTTGGTACTTTGTAACGGAAATCCTCTACTCCAAAATATTGACAACCAGGCCAAGGAGATTGATAGTTGGAGCTATCATAACTCTCGGAGTCGTATTGCTCGGGACATTCGTACCTTCCGAAACCAAATATTCACGCAGACAAGATCGTGCTGTATCATTCTTCGGAATTGTTGTTGCGGTCGTTGGGTTGTATTTGACATCTAATAACAGAAAAAAGATTCAATGGAACACGGTTATTGGTGGTTTGTTGATGCAGTTTATTATTGCCTTGTTTGTGTTGCGTACAAAATGTGGTTACGATATTTTTAATTTCATTTCAACTTTAGCTAGAGAACTCTTAGGGTTTGCTAAAGATGGGGTCGCCTTTTTAACCACAACTGAAGTTTCTCAATTAGGCATGTTTTTCTTCACAGTCTTACCATCTGTGGCTTTTTTTGTTGCCTTTATTCATATTTGGTATTATTATGGAATGGTTCAATGGTTTATTGGAAAGTTTGCATATTTCTTTTTCTGGAGTCTTAGAGTTTCTGGGGCTGAAGCAGTTACTGCAGCTGCATCTCCATTCCTTGGTATTGGTGAGAGTGCCATTTTAATTAAAGATTTGGTACCATATTTAACAAAGGCTGAGCTCCATCAAATTATGTGTTCTGGTTTCTCCACTATTTCGGGAGCTGTATTGGTTGGCTATATTGGACTTGGGTTGAACCCACAAGCTCTTGTCAGTTCGTGTGTTATGTCTATTCCGGCATCATTAGCTGCATCCAAGTTAAGATATCCTGAAACTGAGGTCCCAATATCAAATAGTACATTTAATGTTCCTAAGCATATGGAAGACGAAGCCACGAGACCTAGAAACGTTTTACAGGCATTCTCAAATGGGGCAACATTGGGTTTAAGGATTGCAGGTACCATGATGATTCAATGTATGTGTATCATTGGCCTTGTTGCATTGATTAACGGCATTTTAACCTGGTTCGGTAATTACTGGAATATTCATGAATTAACCCTCGAACTAATGTTATCCTACCTTTTATACCCAATTGGATTTTTATTGGGTACTCCAAGAAACGAAATTTTGCATGTTACCAAATTAATTGGAACCAAGATCATTCAAAACGAATTTGTTGCCTATAACTTATTGATAACCGAATCTCCTTATAAAGAAATGTCTAGGAGAGGTACGTTGATCGCAACATATGCTCTTTGTGGGTTTTCAAATTTGGGTTCTTTAGGAATTACATTGGGTGTTTTAAATACCTTAACCAACAACTCAAGATCTAGAGACATCACAAGCTCCATTATTTCTGCCCTTTTTACTGGAGGTCTTGCCACTTTAACATCTGCCGCCATTGCGGCTATGGTTATTCATGATTTAGGTTCATATGACATAAATTGATTTTTTAAATCTTTAGGGTATTTGTTTATAGTTTTCACCGGTGGTTTCAAAAAATATACACATTGTGAATGTCCTATTGTAAATATGTATCTAGTATATCAAATCATTGTACTATAATATCCTTCCTGAAAAATTTACGGTGAGCTCGATAAGGAGTGCACGCTAAATTGAAGTTTCATGAGTCTAAACACCATATATGTATTTAATTTAAACAATTGTTAAAATATACATATAAGATGGTTGTCGTAGCATCTGAGCAGCAGGCTCTCTTGCAGGGATGTTTAAATAATATTGGACATCAATCTCATTTAATGAAACAATGTTTAAATGAAGGTAACTTATTACAAGCACTTAAACACTGCTCAAACTTTTTGAACGAATTAAGAATCAATCAGCTTAGTCCCAAACAATATTATGAAATGTACGTTCTGGTATTTGACGCTTTGGAAACATTGTCTAGTCATTTATTAGCATCACACAAATCGAAGCAAAAGAAAAGGGCCACTGGAGAATCTCCTCCTTTTTTGGCAGATTTATATGAGCTAGTACAATATTCGGGCAATATTATCCCTAGATTATATATGATGATTGTTGTTGGTACTACTTATATGTCTACGGATGATGCACCAAAGAAAGAGCTCATGAAAGAGATGATTGAAATGTGTAGAGGAGTGCAACATCCGATTAGGGGACTATTTTTAAGATACTACTTGTCCCAAAGAATCAAGGATTTGTTACCATTGTCAAATGAAAATGACTTAGATGAAACTGTGGACTTTTTAATATCAAACTTTATAGAAATGAATAAGTTGTGGGTTCGGTTACAACATCAAGGACATTCCTCAGAAAGAGAATTAAGATTCAAAGAAAGAAAAGAATTGAAAATTTTGGTTGGGTCAAATTTAGTTAGATTATCACAAATCATTGACGATTACACTGGTGACAAGCTGTATTCAAGTATCGATTACTATAAAGAGAAAATATTTCCTGTGATAACTGAGCATATTATCCAATGTAGGGATCCATTAGCTCAGAGTTATTTGATAGATGTTTTGATCCAAATATTCCCAGACAATTTTCATTTTGTTACATTAGACAAGCTTTTGAACAGTGTATTTATCGATTTGCACCCTATGTTAAAGAAATCTGAATTAGTATCGTCTTTAATAGAGAGATTTATAACATATCGCAAATACGAAAATGATCTAGATTCCAAAGTTGAGAAGTTGGGATTGAATGACAAAACGCAATCGGATAACCTTCTATTATCAGATGTGTTTAATATTTTTTGGGCCTTTTATTTGAAGTTATTTGAATCAGACCCTGAGTTGCCTCCAGAAGAGCATTCAACTATGCTACAATCATTCATCCAATTATCATTAGCTTATGATCTGCAAAACCTTGAGAATTTGAACCAAATATATAAGTTTGCTAGTGAAAAGTTAACAAATGATAACGAAACTCAAGAAGATCAACAATTATGGTTAAACTTGTTGACTTCACCGTTGCAACATTTTTCATCTGTTAAACGGTTAGTAAGTCTTTCATATTTTTATGAGTTTTATTCGAAATTATCGAACGTTCATTACCAAAAACTGCTTGCTTTAGAAGTTCTTAACAAAGTCCTCACACCTAGTGATGCTGAAAATAAGCTTGATACATATTCTACAGTTGATGAAATTGATATGATTTTTAAATACTTATTGATCCTTATTAAAGATACTGATAGCAGAAAGAACACTGCTAAGGACTTGGGTGTGACCAAAGCTATCAAAATTGACGGTGGTGAGAAGATTATTAGTCATGAATTTTTAAGAGTACAAGAAAACTTATGTAAAGTGATTCACTTAATTGAAAACAAGGATTATTTCAAAAATATTTCTAATTTGATGTACATAAGAAAGAAATATTTAAGCAAATGCCCCGAGAATATTTTGTATACGTACCCTGCATTAATTTCCAAGATATTAAATCAACTAAGGATTATTGGACTTGTTCAGTCCAGGAGATCCAAAGCAGATTCAAACAAGGAATTACTTATTACCACGAACTTTAAAAATCTATCTGTCATAATCGATGAATTATACCAGCACCATCAACAGTTTAACCTGGAGGTGATCTTAAAAATATATCTCAATGCAGCGGCTATAGCTGACCAATTAAAGCAAGAATCAATTGCGTACGAATTGTTCACACAATGCTTTATTGTGTATGAAGAGAATGTCATCTTTAATTCTACCATGAGTCATTCCCAAAACCCACATGACTCAATAGGAGGCTCATTACCATTTGAGCTGATTAATATGATTGCTAATAAATTAGCAAACCTGAGATATTTCAATAAGGAGAATTACGAAAATTTGATTACAAAGTTGACTTTGTATGGGTCTAAATTGCTAAAGAAGCACGCCCAATGTCGTGCTGTTTACTACTGTGCTCATCTTTGGTGGTGGTGTGATCTCTTCATTGAAGGCAGCTCCCCAACAGTATCAGAGACCCCCCAAGACGAAGAGCCTTCTCTCTATAGAGACCCAAAAAGAGTCTTAGAGTGTTTACAAAAGGCCCTTAGGGTTGCTGATTCATGTATGGATCCCTATCTTTCTCTAAAATTATTTGTGGAAATTTTAAACAGGTGTTTGATTTTCAACATCTATGGAAACTATTTGATTGATGCTAAGTATATTAATGGTTTAATAGACCTTATTAGAACTAATCTAGAGAATTTCAGAGATGATAATACCACTAAGGATGATGACGATCACGAGTCGCAATTATTCAACCAAATACAAGCCTATTTCAACAGAACTTTGCACTACATTGAAGATCAAAAGTACTCCGAAGACAGATTTCAAGATATTATAGTCTAATAGCTAAGACCGTTTAGGTATATCATTCAATCTCATTCACTGAATTGTGAAAATTCTTGTGCTTCCATTTTTCTAGAGTACACTTTTTATATTGTATATGCATTATGTAGTACTTTACATCATCTACTAAAAAGATAGCCAACCAGTATCCTATATGTAGTGGCATTACATATTGACGCCCCTGGTACTGTAATCTATGCAAGCCTTGGTATTCGTTTTGCTCTATTGGCTGTATTAACAATAGCCGGTCTTTAATCTACAAAACCCGACTAAGCCTTGGCTGCAATAAGCCCTTTTTTATATCATTAAATAAATTGAGAACAATCGCACATTATCATTTTTTATTTTATTCTTTATCCTAAGTATTTATCAACATGAGTCAACACCAAGCTCTTGATACTTCGCTTTGGAATAAATTCCTCTTTGGCAAGCCTAGAATGCCAGATGTAGAGGATGATATAGAAAAGGGAGTTCCAGAAGAATTTTATAATGAGAAAAAGGGCTATTCCGATGATGAGAAAGCTAGCAAGGAATACTCCGAACCAATTATTGTTAAAGCCAGAAAAAGCAAGGGGGTCGTAGGACGTGGAATGATTTTAATTGGATTGATATTGAGTATTTTTTTGTTGAAAGATCAAATTTACCTTCCCAGAACGTTTAAGTTCCATAATTGCCATGGCGCAATTGGTAGAAGCATGAAAATTGCTAATTATGCGGATGAGAGTTACGGTGTTTCGAATACAGAACTTGCTAATGGAACTACTAGACAGGTGATTGAGATTTCCAACCCAAATGTTCCTCGTCATTCTTATGGTAAACTGGTGCATTCAGCCAGTTTGGTCAAGCATACATTTGGGCATTCATGGGGTACTCCAGTCGTTGCTAATTACACACCTCCAACAGGTGTCGAATTCAACAGGGTTGTTTTGACATTAAACACATCTGTAGAAGGTGTGCAGTATGACAGATTGGCCAACATTTTTGTTGACGGGATTGAAATTTGGAGAACCTCTACTGCCGAACCAGGTGGAAGAGCCGTTTTCTCTTCCTTTAAAAAGGATGTTTCGTCCTATTTAAAGCTCTTTACTAAAGAGTCAAAGGTTTTATTCCAATTAGACAATATTTTGTCTGGAAGACTTTCAGGCGAATTCGAGGTTGAATTGCTTATTGATTTCTATAATGTTGAAGAACATCACCCTGAAGCAAATGCTTTTTTGAATGAAGAAGATAAGAAATTCAATCAATCCATTTTTTCTGTCGCTAAGCCAGCATCACAGATCTATTCACTCTCGAATAGTAAAGACTCTGAATCATCGCCAATTTCATACTTGCCATCTGATAAGCTTATTATCAACTTACCATCAGTTCCAGTGAACACTACTCGTTTGAGGTTATCTATTTTCACATCTGGCAATGCTGCTGAGGAATTTTGGTACGCCAATGTCTTGGACAAGTACGTTCGCAAATTTGAAAAGAATGGTAGAGCCTTGCAAGGACATGGACCGGTTAGAATTGTGAATGTTTATTTTAACGGTGAAAAGATTGCCACTCAGTCCCCACAACCGATTATATTCTCTGGTGGGATATCTCCAGCATTATGGTCGCCAGTTATGCCAATAAATTCATTTGATTTGCCAAGCATTGATTTGGATGTATCAGGTTTATTACCTTTACTTTGGGAGAACCAATCTATAGAAGATAAGAATATAGAAATCGAAATTTCAAATGGATTAGATGAAACTACTAAACCAAATGTTCCCCGTTCTAATATTGGAGACAACTGGATTACTTCTGCGAATTTGTTGACTTATGAAAGCAAGGAAGTTGCTGATGTATCTGGTGAGGTTACAAAGATCGACCATAGTCATAGTGCAAGAGTCATTGATTTTGCACCACCCTTTACTGGCTCGATTCAACAAACCATATCTGCATCGTTTGATGCTGAGTTAACAAGTAATTTAAATTTTGTCTTGAAGGATGGTTCTGTTCTTAATACTTCAGTCACTTCAATCTCTGAAGCTAAAATATCCAATGTTCAAAGCTACAGACATTTTGGTGATTCACAAAAAGTTGTTCATCTTGGGTCATCGGTTAAATCATTCACTATACTGCATTTGAATTCTTCAGATGAGAAAGTTGATGATGCCAATATCATTCATAGTTACAAATCTCAGTTGAATTATCCGTTGACAGTTTCCCTTGAAGAAAGGGACCAATCTAAAGAAAAAGGTGCTGACCTCGCATATGATACTAGAATTGCTAATGTTAAGGAGGTCCTTGTTCATGTAGATGGAAAAAATGTAATGAGTACTACCACTGCTCAACATGGTGATTCTACATATATCTTGTCACACGAAGGTAACCATGGGTTTGGTAATTTAAAAACCAAGTATAAATTAAATGTTCTTTCACCAGCAGGAAGTTATAATTATGAGAGAAAGGTTAAGGCAGTAAATGGCACTATAACTGGTGACAAAAGTAAGACTGGAAATGAAGAGAATAATGATGTACACTCCTATCAACTAAGTCATGAAATTTCCCCTAGAAGAATTCATAAAGTAATGAAGTTTAAAAAGGTAAGAACTGAATATGATAATGTGGTTGCAGTTTTATCAGACATATATAACTTCAAATTCTCTGATATTGCAACCTCTAAACAATTCCGTGATACATTGAACTCAATGAACATCCTTGGTCTTGATTGCGAATTCATGATCGTAAATGAAAATGGAGATGTTATTAAAGTTGGTAAAGGCCAGCACCACAAAGGTGAAAATAAATACCATGGAGGTAAATATAAACATCATGGAGATGATCAATTTGGACCTCATGGTGG